TGATCACTCAGTTCACGAGCGCACGGAGATAGGCATACGGAAACTCGGGTATCCTCGGTGTCTGAAGAGGACAAATTTGAGGGTAAGGAAGAACTCTGTTGGACATTAAGTTGATTGGTGGCATTACTACCAAGTGCGGAAAAGTGAAAAATGGTGGGGAGACTGACTAGCTGGAGCGTTGTAAAGACTGTTTTGGTGTTGGAGGAGTGGTTTTGCGGAGTAGCAGCAATTGCTGGGTGGATCTCCAAGAAGACTATGCTAAAAGTTTAGGCGACTGAGTCCATGTGAGTGTGTGCCAGGAATATGGGAATGTTTAAAGTCGGCATTCCGCCACCCCATAGTAAAATTTGGGTAGTTGCAAGTAATTGTTTAAGATTGGTGGGGATAAAGGAAGGGGGAAGGTTGACTAATCTCGGTTATATTTGATACCTAAGACGTCCTTTTAGGAGATTTAATCAAATGAGAAGTACGGGACGCCGAATCAGACTTGACAGAGTGTATGTCAGGCACACGAATTCTGTTCGCTACATTTTTACTCAGAATCTTAGGGTTAGATGGGGGGAATTACAAGGGTCTTTGATACTTTTTAGGTAATAGGCGGAGGGCCCCTTTTAAGGTTAAGGATGGGTTTTGTGTTGACAAAAATAGGGCATACAGTAACTTCTTGGTGTCTGATTTCACCTGCTAGGTGATGTGTATTCATATGATGTCTGCCTTGTTTCGACAGTTTGATATATTTTGCTATATGTCTATTGATCGTTAGTCCATTGTAACTCGCATTATATCTCGTCTGCCTATTAACTAAATAAACAGTGTATGACCTTTGTTACATGGCATCGCAACCAATCAGAATCCAGTTGGTGGTAGAAAAAACTGCTATCTATCTTATTGGTTCATGTATGTTAGTTGTTTTCTATATAATCGTGTATTGTACAATTGATTGACATTTTCGTACTTTTCCACTCACACTCTTGTGTGGCAGTTAATTTACCTTGTTGGAAAATAGGCGTATACATTCGTAAACGTGCGGGTCTTCTGATTTTCCTCTTCGGGTCAGGGTAAATTAACTACTAAGCAATACCAGTCTTTACATTATCATCCGTTATATCTTGTTAGCCATGTTTACACTCGGTCACACAATAACACTGGGATAACTTGCTTGGCACGAGGTTGGATTAATGTCCTGTCGTGAACAATACGTGCATTTTTATAGCTGCTAACTCTCCCGAAAAGGTGCTGGATGTTTACAAGGCTGCTAGCAACCACAATGCAATTAAATTTGAACGTTATTGGGCAGGAGGTATTAGATGAGCATTTACGCAATCGTCTGCAGGCACAATAGGAATCTAGTATTTAATATGCCTATAGAAGCGTGTTTTTCTATGTTTTAATGCTGCCACACCGAAAACAATTGCATTACACACGCACTGAACACGCCTTATTACTTCCGTGGAAATTTGATCAATAATTCTCTCACAAGACTGTAATGTATCATATTTTGGGTAATCAGTAGGCTTAATCAGATACCCAAGAGGTAAGAAATCACGGAGTAATGGAAAAATGTTTGTATTTTCTAGGTAATCGGCTTGGGTGGTGTGGGTTGCGTAGACGGTGAGCTGTTTGCTTTTCCAAATTCAGCATTAGGCTGACGTCCATGTGTCGCAGATGACTGATGGAAATTTTCACAATGGGGGGCTTTATGGGTAATAAAACCGGTGGTGCTACAATCTATCTTCTGTATTGGCATATGTGTACCCCGCCTGAAAGCATCCATTTGAGTAGAACTAGATGATGGAGAATCTGCCTGTGTATTGTGAAGACTATCTAGATTAACGTCTATGGTTAAAAAGCATTTAGGGAAGTTATCTTTCCTTCTGAAGCAGCCGAAGGATCGACATCAGTAGGTGCAGATGATAGTGAGGCTATATGTATGTTCGGAACTTCTGACTGACGCTCCCGAGCAGGGCGTTTGGGTAGTGTGGATTCAACCACATCAAAGAAGCTGATGTCGGATCTTTTATTGAGATCCAGTGTGGCGTGGTAGGCGTCCATAATACCTGTCTCACAACCTGTACTTCTGTAAATATCTCTGATAAAAACACTTATTACGCAAGGCGGTGAAGAGGTGATAATGTCTGACCTGTGATTATCTAGCTTGTGTGTCAGATCAGAGAAAGGTGTATTACCATGTTGTTTAGTCTTAGTAGATTTATGTCTATGCTGAAGTTTTCAGCCGACAATGAAGCATGGCGCTTCGACAGCTTAATTATCATTTTGTGTAAAGTTAATATAGAGATGCCGGACTACACGTATATAAGTCTTAGGTTATTTGATGTTATGTCAAAAAATGCAGTTGTAACATGGGCACCGAAAGTCGGATACTAGATGTGATAACAAATTAAACAATAACTTGAAACGGGGGAAATAGCTAGGATAATATCCAGCAGTGAGAAAGGCAATATGAGATATAGCAACTATCAATATTTATAGTAGTAGAAAGCAATACTAAAAATATTACTTAAAATGTGAGAGTACCAAAGAAAATTAAAAAAACACAAAAACTACGCGGAAAAGTACGACAAACGTCGAAAGCGGCGGCTAAGAGACCAACTGGCGATTTCCCGGCATCAAGTCCCTCCTTCCTATCGGCAGTCAAGGGTCAACTGAGAATTTCAATGTTGAAGCTTTTCTGAGACAAATCTCACCCCTGAAGCAGGTAAACTTTTCATCCGCAGGCTCTCTGACTTCAGCAGAGCCGCGGAAGCTGGTGAGAAAGATCCTGTATAATTTGATCTGTCACAAATATAGGGATTCTCAAGAATATATATAACACAGCGCCAAGAAATCAGTTCTTTCACATAAGTTCTTCAAGGAATTATTGGATATTGAACTGTACGGATACAATTTTATTGGTTTCCAACATACCTAGCGGCAGTTTAACTGCAAGTTCATTGTTTACAAGTACATTTATCATCACTCGTAAAATTTTCATTCTGTTTAAGACGCCACCCAAAACTTATATCAACTTTCTTTTATTTGAAAAGGTATAAATTGTTTGTTGTATGTATGAATTTTAGAGGAACACCTGAAAATGTCGTAAATTGGAACATGAGTTTATTTATCACACGTCATGATTTCTTTCAAACATGTCTCAAACATAAGAAATTTAAATTTATCTGGTATTTCATAGAATACTGTACTCATAAGTAAATACAGTGTTACATCCAGATCTAGTTCAAGAATGAACTATCTGACAAACAGTTTATTAAATATCCCCATAGTAGAATATAGAATAACATATCTAAGCGAACAATATCGTCTTCAATTAAATCACATTAGCCTCAATCTTATATACGTAACCTTACAGATATTTGAAATTCTGTTTGTAAACTTACTTACATAGAGTTTAGCTCGGTGAGATCTAATTAGAACAATGCTGTTCATTTAAATTTGTTGTTCTGAGAAATTTATCGTCTTATGATGTGTAATGGTATATATGCATATGCATATGTACATATGTATATATATATATATACATAATTGGCATTTGAAGATTTGTGTGCACAAAGTTATGGAGACAGAATAACAAATTGTTTACTGTGGAATTAAGGAGGAGTGTAATTATCCGTGAAAATACCCTACATTATAGTGTAACAGTCAGTGAGAAATGGGGGGGGGATTGTTGAATAATGGTGGAAGATTGGTGCAACCAATAGTAGAATTCGCGAAGTTAAGGAATACCAGTCTAAAGAAACTTATAGTGCGCAATCAGATCAACTTAGTGAAACTGAGTAAAAACAGCTCATTCTCAAAGGAATTTTGAAGGATTATAGTCGAATAGTGGCTAAATGATACAGTTTTCCCCATCCCATCCATTCGCGTATTTTGCATATTGTCCAACCCTTCAATCAACGGTATTTAATCAGCATTGTACCACCTTCTCTCATTTACTATATTTATTTAACTTCTGTTTACTCATTCTCCATCTTTATTGTTACGTACCACAATGGAAGTTTCTGTTGAGAGAATGACATCTAAAGAGAATTTACTCCTTCTTTCGTTAGCACGCATTTGGTAATTTATTGGTGCAAGTGGTGAAATCGAAGCCAGAAGACAGATTGAAGAATTTAGCTTCTTCATTGTCTACAATATTGCTACGTTTATTTCGCAAGTCTAATGAAGGTCAAGACTGCTGAATGACTGTTACTTAGTAATCTCATTATCATCTCCCCGGTATATTCATTATCGGAAGCCCCAGAAGGTGTTAATTTAAAACGGGATTAAGATAAACTCGTCGTACCCTGGATTTTGTGTATCATTCCACTTTTGGAAATGAGAATAAACCATACAGCAGATGATTAGACTCAAAGTTTACTGAAGCTGCATATAAATACGCATAAAAATATCATTTGCATGTCTTTACATGATTTTTCAGTTTTCTTCATTTTGTAAAACTTTTATCAGTTAATATTACTGTACAACACTGTGTGATTTATCAAAATCTTATCCAAAATGGAGTTATGCTGTATCACAATGCCTAAATTTTATACTTATATCAAACTTTTATCTTGTTATGTAAACATTGTTTACGAAAGCTCCTCTCCCAGATTTCGCTTGAAATGTTAATTAGTGAAATGTAATAAGGTTATTGTGACTATAAAAGTTCTTTAATAACGTCACGTGTTCCAATAAAATAAAGGAAGTCTACTGAAATGTTTAAACTGATAATATTTTTGTGATAGCTTTGAAATAGTAACAATAATTACTGTGATTATAGGTAGATTCTATTTTTTGTCTCGAATAAGTTTTGTTTCTTCACAAGTGCAAGTTAAATTTTTCGTTTTGTTGCTGTATAGTTCTTGCATTAAATCATTAACACTAAATGATTGCGAAAATGCTGAACGTGGAGAAAATGGCTGTTGTTGCTGCTGCTTATTTTAAACCGGTTCTCTACTTCTCATGAAATTATTCAGGAAAATAGAACTCAATAACACAGAAGAATGGATGAGAAAGGTCTGCGTTCCGACAAGGTAACATTTTCGCACCTTTGATGTCAGTTACACTTGCCCTAATTGAACATAAATCTGCTGTTAGGGCTTATCACATACAAATATATTTCCTCTGCCTTCGAGTATAAATAAAATGCCGCATATATCAAATTCCTTTTACTATGCACTTCTTGGGATAGAATTCCTAATGTACTCGACATTATTCATAGTTTCGACGGTTGCGTGGCAGTCTGAAGTTTCTGTGTTGTGCATTACCAGTCATCTATATAATTATTTTATGGATAAGCACTGAGAGTAAAGGGAAATTACTCAAATATCTAGTTTATCTCTTGGTAAATGAAAATGTACAGAAATATTTGATGGATGAGTAAACATTACTTTTTACGAATAGTTAACTTTTGTGTGGTTGTCAAGCGTATTTCTTTATTGCACACTAAGAGTGGTACTTAGTCACTACCCTTCAGTCACTAAGAACAACTACGTCGCAGTAATGAGGAATTGTATTTTAATATTTTCAGGAGACCATTTAGTCTGTAATCACCAAAGTAGAGGTACACACACAAGAAGCTTTTTCCTGTTCCTTGAAATAGCGTGATTCGACATGCTTCGTTTCTCTCAGATTTTGTTTCTTCTCAGTTGATAAATTGTTTATTTCCAGGCGAATGCCGTATGGTTTTACACTTCAGGTCGGAATGTGAAAACGTCAGTCTTATGCTCGTGGTGCTTTTGAATAACCTTATAAAGATAAACTCATTAAAATGAAGGAAAACCATTCTACTTTTTACAATTTGAATATAGTCATGTATGAATAAAGCATAATGATAAATGCATAGAGACTTTGACTGTTAGTTTAGCCTACATGACTGAACTCCCTGAAATGCTGAGGATCACTGATTGTAGACTGTTAGTGAAATGGTGGAAACCAATTCACAGTGTTCTTTATTATTACTCTTTACTTAACTCTTTCTCCTGTAGATTTCTGTTGATTGTAGTTGCTTGATACGCGGGGTTGAATTGTTTGTTCTCATTACCATGTCCGCTGAACTGTTTGCTTTTGTCTTAGTTTCATTGCATTTCCTTTCTATTCCTCTATGTTTGCTTTCATGAGGTTTGGCTACTTGAAATACTGTCCTTTGTACTAACTGCAGTCAATAGGCCTTCCAAGCTTTGTCGAATCATATCCGCTTGAACATTTGTATATGTAACCATTCTAATTGCCACTGTTTTGATTGTCACACATTTCTCCATCATTCCTGACTATTGATTATTGTTGTTAGTGCTATTACTGCTGTGATTAATTGCTGAATTCATATTCGTCTTATATTCCCACGGACAGTTCATTACAGTTTATGTCTGATTTTTCTGTGTAAACCTATGTATAACAGGGTAAAGCGTGAAACACAATTGTTTGATGCATGTTTTATTCCGAACGAGGAAAGTGCAAAACTGTAATAGAGGAGAAAATAAGGTGTGTGTTAATTGTAAACCATGTCACCTGAAGTCTTGTACTTCAAGTTCCAGCTATCATAAGCAATATCTGAGAGATCTGTGGCTAATATGAAACAATTACATATTAGAAAGCGAGTGGCGAAAATTAGAAGTAATATTAGTTACAGCATAACATAAATCAAAAATGTTTGATTTAACTTGCTTGATATTTTTTTGACAGAAATAGAAAGCCAAAATCCTAGTTGCATTTCAACTTTAATTATTATAATCGTAAAAGTTTTCACTGAGAAAATGAATTAAAATTTGTCTTTTCCAGGTGGTGCACCGATCTTCAGGATTCGACAGTTTTCTTCAAAATATTAGGGATTTGGAGCAGGAGTTAAATGACACCTTCAATGAATTTAATTTGAAATCAGATCTACAACATGGATTTTCGTCTTGTTTGGAGAAGAAATCTGTATCGTTTTTATATCACACAGAATTATTGAAAGCATTAGAGAAAATTGGATTGAACTATGATGACTACATACAGGTCAAATGAATTTATTTTGGATTTTATTTTGTCTTCATGATGTTGTAAATCTTTATTAAGAAAGAAAGAAAGGAAGAGTTTTGAAATATGTTTTTTAAACGGTGTGTAAGAAATCGTGGACCTTGATATTCTGCTTAGTTGCATATATCCGTGTTGCTGAAGGCGTCTTGGTTTCTTTAGAGTCCTTCACCTGTTATGTATTTTGGTGAATTGAGACATGGGTATTTTTTTCTTTATGCAGCGTTAAACAGAGCAAGCTAACTGGAAGAATGAGATCTTTGTAGATTGGGACAGTAACAGCAGAGAATATAATTTAGAATGCACAAAAAATAATTCTGTTGAAACTGTGCATGAATCAAAAGTTTAAGTTTTCTAGTTCGATTATCTTTGCCCCAGTTCTAGTTGACGTAGATTAGTGATTTCGTGCATGGTAACAGTTATATTTTAAGAATGACATATATGCGGGATTTGTGTACAGTATTTACAAAATAACAAGCAATCAGGTTGACATACTGTACTGTTGAATTAATCTGATCAGCTTAACATTCTTGTTATATTTTAGAAATAATGTCATTATGAGATTGTAAATTATATGACTGACTTTGAATTATATTTATTATTTCAGACTATGAATGAACTGGAGCTCGATAAAGAATGTGACCAAGGTGAAAAATCAGATATAGAAGTGGATGATGGAACGTTATTGAATTGCACTGAGAAAGTTCCAGATAACAATACTTTGGAAATAAGAACGAACTCAAGAGCTGAACGACTGTCAAATATTTTAGGTAATTCTACGCGTCTCCTTGTATAATACTCTTCATATCCGTGTTTGTCTTGAAAACTTTATTTGCCATGGTCACAGGTATAACAGCAGCTAACTTTTGTTGGTATGGTTTTCCAGCTTTCGAAATAGCTTACAGACGTATTAGTTATTACACGCCGCAGTTGCTCTGGCGATCTACTGAAAATGCACGCTTAGTAGAATATAAGTGTAGAAGTATTAATTTTTTGTTGGATATACTCAAGGGGCTCTATATATATTTCGAAATTTGCATTTACTGGTTGGTGTGTAATGAACGCAGCGTAATTAGGTAAAATGCAAGACTTTATACAACAACCTACGCCATATACAGCTGTTAGAGTCTGTTTATAAATAGTTAACTGAAGATTGATCTAACCTGTCAGCAATGAAGGCTGGAAGCTGTTATTACTGCGGTAAGAAACAGGGATGTATTCAGGTGATATTGAAAAAATGATGTCACTGGTGAGAAAATGAAACAGAAAGCATAAGGAGCAAAAGGAAAACAGTGCACTTTGACAAAATCATTGAATATCTAGGTGGGAGTGAGAGGTGAATGCAATTGTTAAATGTCACTGATTTGTTTGTCTCAGTGTAGTTTTGGTCAGAGTATTTTTCTTTCTTATAGAACATTCCGACTTGGATGTTTATTTTTTTCAAGTTCCATCACTTACTTTAGTGAACTTAGCACCCGAAACATGATTAACCAAGTGAAGATCCTCTGAAAAGTACCCTGTTTGGTAGCTGTTACCTAAACTCTAGAAAACTGGGTTCAATGATACATTTCGAAATGGTAGATTGCTTATGTCCATTAGCAAATGATAGTCCAAGAAGGCATTTGTCAGTTGACGTGTACAATACCAGATTTCTTTAAGTTACTTGTGGCTTCCTGACTGAAAAACGTCATGTCATGTTTTTGAGTACAACTTCAGATAATGAGTCATAGATAGACGGACCCGGTAAATCAATGAATCGATCAATGAAAGCATGTATTGTAGCAGACCTGGTAAATGTTAGTGAGCCATAATTTCGTGTATGATACATGAAAAAGTGTATAGCTGGTTATCAGAATTCACTGCAAGCATCCGCGAGCAAATTGTTCATAAGCATAAATTACCTTGAATGTTTGTCTAAAATTAGCATCCTCTTAATCGCACTATTCTTGGATGAATGCAATCAAGTGCTCGATAGCATACTCGTATTTTAATGAAACACATTTCAAACTTGGGAAATAGTGACTAATTTATCAAATGTCAGAATAACTCATTCAGTAGGCGGAATTGGACTCATGTTTCATGCATCTTCGTACTCATTTGCAATCTTGAGGAAGCTTATAATTCCGCCGTGATCTCAACCTGAGTTACTGGTATAGTGAGAAGTAGTGTATATCTGATAGAGTAAACAGATACTTTAGTCATTTTAAGGCAACTACTTTGCACAGATTTATATATATATATATATGCATAGTTGGTAATGCTCTTACTTATCAAATGTTATAAAGTAAACAGAATTTATTCTCACAAAATATAAGAACAAGATTTTCACAGCAGCATGCCAACCAATGAATTAAACAACACATGTGCATGTGAATCGGTGGTAGACATAATCCATGGGCCATGGGTTTCCGTCCCAGTGAGTAAATGGTAATGTTCACCTGGTAACTTGAAGACCCTGAAAGTAATCCCTAGTAGATTGTGTTCTGATGAGGAGTCGCAAAGTCGGACGAAACAGCTGTTCAGTATTCACTGGTGTTTAGTGGTTCTCTAACTTATGTTGTTTCGTGATGAAATCTAACATGTACATGATGTATTTTGTTTTATTATCGTGTTCAGAAGACAGTAAGCAGCTTAAGAACACTGATTCGGAAAGTAGACTTATGCATCAAAAAATTGAAGATGAAATCAGTAGATTAGAAAAAGCGGTGAGTATGAGTCAGTGTTTAGTTTTACGAAGGTTTTTGTATCAACCTTTCCTCTTTCTTTCATCTTTATTCGATCGACTTACCTTTTCATACATTTTTTCAATAATAAATTGTGCATAATCGCTCTAATTTGAATATTATATGTATATAAGGTTTGGAAGCAAATTTAGTTAAAAGACTTAAATGTCATGCAACCACTAGGTAATGAGTACTCAGGTTACATGATACACTAAAAGCAGCTAAAATGTACCATTTTATTATATAACACGATCATAATACACCTTTCAAGCAATCCGCTTCTAGAGATGGACAAGATGAAACACAAAGATATTTCAATCGCTTATATCTTCAAAATCTATCGTAATATGGGTGTAATAGCGCTTCAAGAAACTTTGCTTCATGGTGTCTATGATGATAATCTAGTCTTTCTAGATGGTTTCAGGTTGATGAAATAAGATCTCAGTTCTGAGGAGAAGCTTGACAGTGATGTTACTACTTTCATTTGTTCTCAGTGGTCTACTTATAGTGATTTATGAGTTGAATTCTCTAGTAGCAATATTGACTGTATTACTTTTAAATGTCGTCCCAATCACTTGTCAAAATATAATCACATGCATTACGAACAGCTGTAACTCCTAACTGTAGTCTCTTAAATCTATCCAATTTTTACTGATGATTTCACTGGTTTTGATGGTTCTTCTTTTGGTAACTTCCTGTCGTTAGTGACTGGTGATTTGAATTCTTGTGACTGCAGATTCCTTACATCACTCGTTCATGAAAATGTCAACTTTGCTACTCACCTGGACATCACATTACATCTAGTGTTCATGAATGACTTTGGTATAAATGAATCTCACAACGAGCTCCACTGCCAAACTGTGATCATTGTTAAACGAGTTTAGCTCAAAATACATGAAAAACAAAGAATTCAGTGAAGAAAATTCTTTGTTTTTATGTCTCAATGGGGATTATTAATTTAATCAAAATACCTGGTTATTTATACAGAGGTGCCCCAAGAAGATTCAGTGTAGGTCTTATTGTCAAGACAATATGCAAAGTCGTAGAAGCATGGGTAAAGAAACAATCTGGAACCTGTTTACTGAAAAGGTGCTGGATGACACGATCACAAATATCACTTATCTCAAAATCTGCGATTTGACCGTTTTTCTTCTCAACTCAAAAAGTTGCTCAGAGAGAAGGAATGATTTTATAAAATGAGGAATAACCATGGTATGAAAGGACTAGACATTTTAGTTGTCTGAAATTCAGAGACTAAATGTCGCACGAAAAATCTTCATATATATAGAAAATGTTTAAAGAGGTTACTTGTGGAAAGCCTATGAGTAATATTCCATGTTCGTACTCTTAGCAAGTCATTTAGTAGATTTTATACCCCCCATTTGTACAAAATAAAGTGATAATTGCTTTGCTGATTTCAACACAGATGATGTTCTAGAATGCCTCTGGTCCTTGAATCTCTCCCAAAGACTTGAGTTCAATACTATCTTCAGAAAATATGCAGATATTTGTCATTTTTATACTGGCCTCTTGTAATCCATCTTTTCTTATAAATGTCTGCCGCTTGCAACGACTTCAAGATTGTACTTGTGCTTAAGTTATCTACTGATACACGTATGAAATTTAGACATATTGTCATCATTTCTTCTATTTTGAAAATAATGGATACATTACTTTTAAGTAAGCTTGAATCCTTGTTGAGGGCCTTTAAATCATGCGAGATAATTTGCTTTCAATTCCTACAAAAGTACTTTGAATTTTACCACCATTTTACATTATAATATTGTTTCCATTTTAGACCTAGGGGTTAAATATTTTCGTTGTGACTTCATTGGTTACAAACCCACTTTTGACTCTGCATCTAGACCTGTTTTGTTGAGTAATCTTACTGTGACACAAAGTGAGCTCTGAGTGACTAAGTAGATGAGTTCTTATTTTTCCGAAAGAAAACAGTACACTGTACGCTAAGGAAAGCCTCCCACCTCATTGTTTACTGAATCCGGTGTCCATTAAGGTGCTGTACTTTCTTTGTTCTTGCATGACTTATTTCGTTCTAGTGAGACTAATTCTGTTAAGTATGCTGATGACCTGACTATTTCCGTACCTGTTGATTTTCAAAGAGATTGTTCCTAAATGAACAGCATTTTTAAGAACAATTAACTACTGCTCCTTTCGATTGTCAGACTGCTAATTTCACCTTCAGACATAAATAAAACGTACATCAGTTGGTTCCTTCCCATGAATCTTGTAGCAAGGGGCTACTGAAGTGCTTAGTATCGTAGATTAGGAGTTTCTTCTGATCTTTACTGGTCATCTCACATCTCGGTGATATTTGGAAAACTATTTCGTCTTACATTCTACATCATAAAGTTAAGACATTGTGGCATAACTTGACACCTACTCTTACAATTTGTTAACTCTTACATTTGTTATTACTCACTCTAAATCTTTCCCATGCTACTTAGAAAGGGACTATGTTATGTTACGAAGAACTCTGAAAGCTGTCAGTAGAGAGAGTGATGTGTCTCTAAGCCGAGTCATCGGTAACTGTTGACAAGCATGGGAATTCATCTAAGAAATGGGCTGCAGTCAATCTATCGGACCACGAGAACCCTTTTTATTCACAGTTTTTACCTTGCGTCCACTCAAGCAGAACAAGAAGCAATTTCAAAAGACTTTACACTCGTATGACTGAATATAAAAACCCCGGTGGGTGCGTACTACTGAAGAGTCCCAAACTAGGACGAAACAATGTCCAGTACTTCCAGGTTTTCCATTGGTTCTGTAACCGATGTCAGCTCATGATGAAATCCTGTAACTATCTGTACCTTATTTTTACACGCATCTTGTGTATATGTGTGTGTTGACATAAAGTTACTAACTTGTCTTGCAAAAGTAAATAAATGGCTATTTTGCTTCCTCCTATCAGTAACGTATTGTTGTCACTATTGTCATTGTCCAGATGATTGAATAATTAATTTTTATTATTATTTCCATTATCATTATTGTTATTCCTATTATTATATTTAATTTGAGTGATTTTGAGTTACTTGAACATAGACTATCCTAACTGCATATATTTTTAAAGTCAATTTAAAGCGTAAACACCGTCATTTATCTTATCATTTAAAGAAGTAAAATTTTAAATTTATTAATAACTTTTTCGTTTAGTCCAATTAAACATTTTAATCAGTATCATATACAGTAAGAAGATTATTAATACACCATTGTTGAGGATAAACTATCTCTAATCACGCACATTTACTTCTAGTTTGACCATGGATTGATATCGCTTAGAGAGCCATTGAAAACTAGAGAGTACTGGACAGTCATTTCTTCCTAGCTTGGGACTCATCGGCAGTAAACACACTAGGGTTTCAAACCCAAGACATTCCGGTTACAAGACGAGCTTGTAAACCAATCAGCCACTGGGACCCGACTCGATGGCCCACAAATAGCCTGCTAATAACACTATCCAAATTCATTAAAGGGATTAACTGTTTTTACACAATGTTGAAATGGTTTGGGATAAAAATATAAATTGAAAATTCAGTAGGAGATTTCAGTAGAACGTTTAGAAGTCATCCTTAATTTTAAACCAATACTTTTCCGTATTTCTCGTTTATTTCAGAAATGGCAGTATTATGCTAGTGCTGTTGAGAATGCGAAAGCATGTAATGAGAAAACAAGTTTACGTTGGAGCGAAATTCATGTCCCCTTGGAGGTAAAAGATTTAAACAGTTTATCACGTGTATGATGATTCTAAAGAATTCAACCTGAGAACAGTTTTCATTTTGTAGGATTTAATAAAATATATTTTGTCAACCACGTGTAGAGACTACTTTTAAGAGTCAGTTGACACAAAGATTACTGTCCTGAAATAAAAATTAACCATACTTCTGTAAATAAGATTGCTGAGTAAACTTCAAATTCCAATAAAATTACTGACTACTGGACAGGAAATTCTGAACACGAAATGGTTGACTAAACCAATCGATCTACCACAGTAAGCAAATTCTGCTCTTACACCAATCAATGGTACCTTAGTGTTTAAATTCGAACTTAAGTGGGAATGGTTTCACTCACCTAACCATAGCTGCTTCTAAAGAGAAGAAAGTGACCCAACTGTATTTGTTATCTGAAGTGAGGATAACCACTGATGTTCGTCAGGGATATCCATTGACATTATTTTTATTTAACTTTCATCAAAGAATGACCTGTTGCTGGGGTAGAGTTTTGTTGACTTAGACTACGGAGATGTTATAGTCCTTCTACGTGCAAATACTGAAAAAGCACAGTGTCTTATGAACACCCTGACTGAAAATCACACTGTGTCCGACCTGCAACTCATCCGTGTTAAATTTAGGATAATTCTGCAGAATTCTACTTTGAGGATAGGTTGTGAAACATTTCAGTGTGTTGCCTGTTTCATTCATTTTTGATGCTGCATCACAGTAATAGACCGGTTTATGTCAAAATTCCAGCACGTATGAAAAAGACTCGTATGGCATTCACCAACTTGCGTTATCTTTGGCACAAATATGATAACGAAGTAGCCATCAAGGACGGTTTACTGTGCAGCACTTTTCTGCATACTGCTTTGCAGCTATGAGACACGATAGTTGACATTGGATGGTATGAAAAGGCTAAACGTTTATGACCATAGGTATCTGTGTTAAGTGGTACCATTTGGTGAATAATGATGAGCCTAAGCCCAGATACACTGTAAGATAAGGAAGAAAAGTTAATAGACCGAATTGTTAAACTTCACTGGTTAAGAAGGCTAGGCCAAATGCTGCGTATGCCATGCCACTTCCTTCCTCATCAAGCAATTTTAACTGAAATGGAACAACGTTGGAGAAGTGTTATGGTTTGTCAGAAGAAAACGTAGCACCAGTGCATGAAGCCCTCGACTGTCGGTTTCAGCCACCAATTTAAGCGGAAGGGGTGGTAGACTGCCTGACTGGACTTCCAGAGATGTTAAGGCTCAGTCATTGGAGACTTGTTGAAATGAATGAAAGTCACTCATAGTTGTGCAGATATAATCATTTCCTGTCATCACCTAGATTCTATTATTCTCTCTGTCTCTTATATCTCCCTTCATCTTTAGTTTCATTAAACTCCTTTTCTGTATTCTTATGTTTACTTTCCGGAATCGTAGTATCTTGCGCTAGCGCACTTTTGTACAGAGTTCTACGTTGATAAGTTGGCCAGTCTGTCATACGATATGACGTTTTAAGATGATTAACTGTAGTCCGTGAAGCCAAGTTGTATGTTGTATAGAAAGAAGACACCTAAACCCAGTTACATTTTTATTGGTTTGAATCAGAAATGTTATTTGCCAGTGGTTTAAAAATTCGTGTACTGTATTAATCGGTACCAGACAGATGAAATCCTCTGCATGGTTTCCGGTGCTTACTGCTGAACTTCCCTAGACAACTAACTGTTCAGTGTCTCATTTTACGTATTTGTTCTCTAGCATATGTTTGTCGTTGACTAAATCTGTTCTCAGATGTTGAAGGCATTCTCAGTCTGTTGTAGTTAGCTGTCCAACTCCTTCATTGTCATCACATTATAAAATAATTATTCTTGAATATAAAACATTTTTAACAGAATGAAGAGCAACCCAATCCTCCAACGGATGGAAATATATTGTCCGAATTTCAATCTGATGAGGAGTATATGAATGTAAGGTCATAGTATTTCTGTTATTTGTTTTTACCATGCTATTATTATACTTAGCGTCACTTTTGAAATCGCTGTAATGACAGACACAACCTTTAGTGGGTTTTCAGTCTTAAGAATAAAATTCGAAATAAGCCAGAAAGAAATAACGTGGTGGCAGTCTGAACTATTTTTAAGTCCTGATTTTTATGAATTCATTAACAAAGTTTAACAGATTGTGTTTGTGTGTAAGTGTATGATGAAGCATTGTTTCCTTTGTGGTCATAGGTCATGTGTTGTATGTGTCAAGGTAGGGAAAACCTGTTATCTCACTTAAAATTTCCAATGCTAAACGACGTACTTAAAGGGATCTTACTCTTTAGTCTGAATGACACTGTCAAAATGCCACAGAATTTCGCGAATTACATGGATATAAAAGTCCAGCTTGAAGGACTGATCTTTCTGACGAATAACACTCCTTTTTGTCAATAAAAGGTTAGGGGCATGGATACTGAGATGACTTACTTCTGAATAAATAAGGGTACGTATTGACCTCAAATGTTATGAAAAGTGGAGTTAGTGAGATACCATATTCTTCGTCATGTGTTCAAATAAACAGTCAGTTAAAATTACTTTCAATGGAAAATTATCGCAATAGCTTCTGGGTGACGAGTAGTTAAAATTCAGAAAAAGACAACCCGCTGAAGTACTGCTTATCGCTTCAATATTAAATTATGCACTACTGAAATTTAACTTTTTAGTTGACTCATGAAATCCTCAGAAAGTTAATGCCAATAAATCTCACTGTAGCAATGTTAGTAACCTGAGACATGTGAGTAACATTTTGTTTCTTGATACTTTACTGTGTTGATTAGTCTTCATGTAACATAATTCATACGCTAAAATGGCATGAAGCTTTCGGTTATATTCAATGATAATCATTCTATCTAGAACTGTCTGATATATTACACTGACTTTTGTGTGTTACGTGGATTTTATGAATAATTTGATGTAAGTTGAAATCTAACTCATCTGTGTAGGACAGCTCACTATTGGATGTTGATTCATAAGTTTTCATTTTTTAAGTTGAAATTGTCTTGTTCGTGAAGTACTACACTAGAAAAGTGATATTAACTTGAGGATGACTACTCGCATCATTTAATAATGCGTGGGTAGTTCAGCGGTAGAATGTTCACCAACCACGCACGTGGTCCGGAGTTTGATTCTTGGCTGGCGTACACCTTTACCTCCCCCAGCTGGTTGTAAGCCGGACAAAGAAGGGAGGTTGGGCTTGAGGTCAGCAACCCCATCCCATAAAACAAACCCCAGTGCTACCGAAATTTCCAGTCTGAAGCCTTATGTTCCACTTAGAGCGCAAAGAGGTAAAATGATAAAAATCGAATAACATCAATCTAAACACCGATAAGTAGTTTCACTGCTACGATGTTGTCCTCACCAGTAGCACACCAGGAATTATTCATCTACGAATGATATTAAGCTGAAATACAAATAGAATTTAAGTCGAACTAAAATAAAATATACGCAACAATGTCATTTACAACTGTCTGACTAAAATGATACGTTTTTGATTCTGTTTTTAAATAGCTACGTATAGAAGAACTTGAAGCTGAGAAGAAATGTGAACAGGAACGGCTGAAACGAATCCAACAGATTGAAGAGGATTCACTCATATTTAATGCAAATAATCGACTTTATAGTTGGCGGTGAGTTCATATTATTTGTTTATATCATGATATGAAATTACATTTGATTTTGTTGAATTTCGAACAATTTTTGTAGAAGACGAATCGTTAACTTAATTTAAGCAATGCCATATTAATCACCTGATACATGTTTATGTACTAGACTACAAGATGTAGATGATATGCAATGATATAAAATTCCACCGAGTTAATGGGATCAAAATAGGTGACAGGGGCTTTAATATTTTTACCCTAACTATATAATCATTATTCTAAGTGAAAGAACCTGGCCGACAACTGCTACCTTGCCGTGGTGGTCGGGCTTGAATGCCCCAGTGACCCAACAAGCTAAACTGGCTGGGACTCATGTCCCTGCAGGTCCTACCATGTCAGAAAGGTTGTTTGGATAGCAGTTAGACTAAAAGCAGTTACCATGGGGTACATGTGCGGCACGACTCCTTGGTTGGGGTCGGCGAGATAGCTCGAATCGATGGCTCGAAACGTTATCGGATATGGCCAAGAATCGTAATCAATGGCGAACGTGTTGCAATTTCCTTCTTTCTTCCCTTCCTGATGATAGTTAACGAATACTGTTTGAACTTGTTAAACATGACTGTTTTCCTTCCATATGAAGTTTTTTATCCGTTTTCTACTTATATTTTTACTTTTAATCTATGTTGTTTTATTATTATTGTGTGGCGCATCTTTCTTGGTACCACATTGTACCAAGTTTTTCTGCGTTTAAATAAATAAAAAATAAAAAGTGAAAGAACTACATTTCACAATGAATCCATCTAAAATACCCTAATGCTCATATCAGTAGCCTAGTTGATGCATTTTGACAAACTTTAAGAAGTCACACTTTGGATTGAACGATACAGTTTTCCCCACCAGAGGTGAGATGATTTTCAGTAATCAACGAAAAATAAACAGTCTAATGATGAGTTGAAACTGGATGCAGCAATTTTACCAACGTAAAATTCTACAAAGAGGAAGGTGAGAAGAGTAATAAGAAGTAACGTAAATAGCAAGGTGAAATTTGGTTAGACGTAACTAATGGAGTTGACTATCCATTAGGTGCCTTGTCATATTTAGATCTTTAGTGATATTTAACTGGCCAGAATAAAGTCCCTCTCATTTAACCTGATTCGATTGTATTCTGTCTCCAACAGATTTTTAGTTGATGCTCGTTTTCAGTGATTGTTTAGGGGACACTGATAGATAGGGTGTTTTGTCTGTTGCCATAAAATTGGTTTGTACACGGAACATCAAACACACTACAGGTTGGTTGGTTGTCTGTAACGGGTGCACAGACGAAGGCGGATATGATTTTGGTTTTCTAATCTAATCTGTGATTTGATTTTCACAGAAACTACCTTCAAAACTTACGAAGATTCGATCCCTATGCATGTGAAATTTAAGTGAACAGGAATAGAATAACAAGCGATAATGTCTCCTAGGACAATCACTGCATTTTCGCGAAGTTAGCTGTATGCTGCGAAGATCTGATGTCTTAAGTGTGATGTAGATAACTGGAAGTTTTCAGAGGGTTAACTTGCTCCGAAAAAGTTATTACTTACCACCTTTTGTTCAAATGTATCATGATGCTTATGGGAAAACAAAGCGTCTACAGAATTTTCGTGATTAATGCAATCCAAGCATAATCGAGATTCGGTCTGTGATCTATCTATGCGTTTCATTCTGGGATGGTGCACTGGTAGTGATCCAAAAAGTTCAGAACCGAAATTAAATATATCATGAATAGTTTTAACTTGTCATCATAATACACCAAGATAAGTCTAAATGAAAGTTTTCCAAGGGAAATATCACTAGCCATCTGATCACTGAGATCCATAAAACTCCAGATAGCTGTTTTGCCCTATTTTTCAATGTTTTAGCTGTTCATTAATATTGTGGCTTTTAAAACTTGTCCGATCAAATCCTCATCTTAAGACGAATGCTGCTACTTTGACTGCAATTACTTTTCACCATTACACAATCAAGTGGTTCTCAACCACCAAACATGAGCAAGTAACTGTATCACATATAATGTTTACTTCATCCTGTTATCTTTTTTCATTCTCTAAGTTCTGAGTGGAACATGGGGCTTCGAGTTTGAAGATTCCGCAGTGGTGGTATTATTTTTACAGGGTGAGGTTGCTGTCCTCACACCTTACATTTTCTCTTTTTCGGCTTGCTAATGGTTTGTAAAGTAGGCGAAATTCAGGAGTGTATCTCCCGGAAATCGAACCTGGATAACACTTCCGTGGTTGGCGAGCTTTCTCTGACTGAGCACAGAGGCATGCTGTTTATTATCTACGTCGCACATATTTCGTTGGTTTCCCTCAATTGAATAAGTCTGACTAATCTGATTGAAATGTTGTCCACAGTCATCGTCATCTAGAAAGGATGAAGACAAATGGAACTGATATTTGGTACTTGGATGATTTCAAACATATATGTATGTATAGTCTTCTCAACTGTCAAGACACTGTTCTGATTTATTCACTTTGAACCAGCTGGCCAGTCAATTTTGAATTACCCATCATAATATGATGTCGTTAGTCACTATCGATGAGCTTTGAATGTTCAGTGATCAACTGAGCCTAAACGAAGTCAAGGCCTTTTCTAAATCCTATAGTCAGTCAGTTAGATTAACTTTGTTATTATTGCTATAAAATAAAAATGTTTATTTCCATATTTAGCCCATAGTTATTTACTTTGATAAAAAGATGGGACTTTTTAATATTTTATACACGTGTAATTGCAACCAAATATTTTATTAATTAAAGTAAAATTCTGTTTGACCAAAATGGTTAAATAATTTATTTAATTGTAGGTCTTTACTGGATATTATGCAAACAAAATTTAATCCTTCCTATTCTCCTTATTCCTATGGAACAAGACCTCATTCGGCTGTACAATATACAAATAATCGAAACCACATTTGTAAAACAAACTTAATTGACAGAAATTTTGGATTGTATTTTGATCTGTCGGATAAAAATAGAACTCAAGATTCACATAATCGATCAATATTGGGGGTTTCAGATAATTATTATCAAAACATGGGTGATATAATTGATAGTCAGATGCCAACAAAGCCAAATGAGTGCAAATATAGGTACGTTTTCCGTGTAATGGAGTCACTTATACATACATTTCATGAGCTGCATGCAATTAACATAGTAACGGTTCCTCATAAGGTATTAAACAGCAATTAATTGAATTAACAAAATAGGATGAAACATAACACTAACATGCGAAAATCATCATTGGCGAAAAATATTAAAACGAAGAATTCGCAGCATCCACTAGACACATAAAACCAAGTAAGATCAAACAACATAAAACAAATAGACACATCGAAACATACACAGGAATAAAATACCAAAAAAATATCACCGAGTTAAAAGCACAAGACCATAAGAAAAATGAAAAAAACAATATGTATATAAAAAAAAAGTAATGGCACATATTGTGGAAAGATAATTTCGAAGACCGAATTAGAAATGAGGTTCGGTTGCAAATCGCATGTCTCGTGTTGCCTTCAGTGTGATGTCATTGATGCATGCATGTTGATCGGTGGTATTTCCACTTGGTGAAGATGCTGCATTGACTCGAGAAGCTGAGTTCGCGAGATGTCCTTATGCATGTAGAAGAGGATAATTGCATTGTGTACCTGATAGGCTATGATATTCTGTAGGACTCATCACACTAGGAAGCGTTGGTTGCGACTATCTATATTTGTGGACTAAGATGGTCATGCATGGTAGTGTTGAAAGCGTAACTTACCGTTCTGGCTTTACATAATATGTCAGCGAAATCTTTAGATTCTTATCGCCTCGTCACTGCTTGCGAGGAGTGTTGGTGTATGCTGGACGACAGCCTACTCCTAGGTTTGATATTATGTAATGTCTTTGAAATGTATTGTCGACAGAATGTATAGTGTGATGTTAGCTGCTCCAAGTCTGATTTGTATTCTCCTCTATGAAAACGAGTATACATTTTTCGTGATATTTGCTTGTTAGATTATGAAAATCAGAGGTTTTATAAGCGATGTGTCGTTTACAATCAGTAAATGAAAAATTGAAAGCATTTATTTTCCGATATGAATTTAAAACAAGCAATAAAAGTTAATAAAGCAGGATTTAATGAATTCATCAAATTTCGGTAGAACTCGTCAGCTGAATACTCTACATACACGGATATATATATATACTTTTGAAATTACATCGGGAGATATAAGACTGATAAGTAAACAAACTACATTAAATTAGTCATGCAGAAAGACAGGTGCGAATGTTTTTCAGGTCATCTTCAAATAGATAAGGGGAGAGACTGTATGAGGGATCAAAATTAAGATAAATTGCATTACTCTCCAATTACATCACTTAGATAAACAATTAGTCATCAGAAAATATAACAAGAATTGCAAACAGAGTAATATCAGTAGTAATAGTTACAATAACAATAATAATAATAATAATGTTGAAGTGAGTTAAGATAATCCTACTGATAAAAGATAGTTTTAAATGAATCAAGAATAATAATAATAATAATAGGAGGTAGAATAATAAGTAAAATGTATTACCATGGTAGATTCAGAGTCACGACCATCTCCTTTTGAACACAGAGACCTGGTTTATAAACTCGAATTGCACAAGCCTCTGCAATTGCAAGCATCTTCTGGTTTCTTTGTCTGCTAACAATAGTGAATGACTTGACCGCGTCGATATCATGTCCGTAGTCCACAAGATGTTTTGTTATTGAGGATTTTGGCACTTTGCACTCAGCTGTTTTCAACCATTTTGGCAAATGCTCCATCATGCGAGTAGACAATCGCCTTTCCGTACGACCTATGTATTAGCTTCCAAAAACACACTCAAATTGATATACGCAGTTTGAAGAGTCGAGGATTGGCGACTGGTCTTTTCCAGATTGTTGAAGCACTCGCTTGGTGGTGTTGAGGAAAACAAGTTTTGCAGCATAATAAGTTCTCTTGGTAGCTTTATCGAGTCTTCGTCTGACTACTTCTTGTACATCATCTCCTTTGGATGGTAAACTGATTTAGGCAGATTTCTTTGGGACTGTTTGGATAATTTTGTTGGATCTCATTTCTTTAGAGTATTTATTAATGGACTTCTCAGGATATCCATTTTTAGACAAAATATCTTTCAGAGCCTTTATGTCGTGTTCAATTGTGCTATGAGGACAAAGTTTTCGTGCTTTATCGAACAGTGTTCTGACTAAGTTCTTTTTATACTGGATTGGAACAAAGCTTTTGAAATGCATGTACTGTCCTTTCCATGAAGACTTCCTAAATCTAAATCTTTCGATTGTGCCATCATTCATTTTGGCTAGGAAAACGTCTAGGAATTTAATAGTATCGATTTCCTCGTGGTCTACTGTGAAGTTGAGATTTGAATGGCATGAGTTGAATTTCATCAACACGTCTTCGCCTATTGATCAGCATAGTTGGAGAGGAACTACTATACTGAACAGCAGAGTATTGTCCTGTGTTCATGCTGTTGATGCATTTTTCGTGAAGGAATGTCGTACAAGTAGTTGAAATATGTTATGCTAGTGGTTTAAACCATGTGTTTCAGTCAGCGTAGTAATCCCATGTATTGAACATAAAAGATTGCTTAAGAATTAAATTTCTTAACAGTTAGGAGGTGATTGTCAGTGGAAGGAAGTAGTAGTATATCTCTCTGTGGGATGTAAAGGAGAGACGATTTTTATCACACATCATAGTTCTCGGAACCTTACAACTGACTTGTCCTTATGCAGCGCACAATTCGTGCTGTCTGCACCATCCACCTAGGCTTTCAGTCATATCAGAGATAAAGTTTTGAGAGAAGGAATTTGTTTTTATCTTCACCTTGGAATGTGCATTGATACTAGACCATAGATCTCATAGGATTGATGAAAACACCGAGATATTTTTGTTTTGAACTGTGTTTTCTGGAAGAATTATGCCTAATGTAGGAGAATAAAACACTGGCCTACAGTGTGGGAAGATAATTTCGAAGACTGAATTAGAAATGAGGTTCGGTTGCAAATCGCATGTCTCGTGTTGCCTTCAGTGTGACGTCATTGATGCATGCATATTTTGCGTGGTTGCCCTCAAGCGCCCATTCGGTTCGTCTTGAGTTTACAGGTAATTTGAAAGTGATAGCTGCGATTCCCTGTTGAATGTGACATTCTTCTGAGACTGTAATGGATGGTTGGTAGTAATTTTCCTGCTTGGCCACTAGCGTGTGTATATAGATGAATCCACACCAATCGATAAGTTTAGCGTATAGCACATCGAAGCACTTATTAATGTGGTCTCCTTTTATTTCGACAGAAGTTCAAGATTGTCGAACATTAAATTGTCTGTGAATGCCACGGATCCTGGAGTGTCAACGGGACAAAGTGTTGATGAAGACAAGGCGTCTCGTCCTGGTACCTCGAGTGCTGTTACATTGGAGTTGGCCCGTGGGAATGATATAGCCTGTGAGTTGTTGTCTCCAGACTCAGATGGTATGGGTGATTTGAAGGCGAAATCTGTGATCGACGACTGTCCGACCTTGGGGATTTCGTCGCCCGAATTAGAAAGAACCAACGGTGGAGTTGGGAGGTATGAACGCTGATTTATTGTTGAAGTGTGAGCGATTTGATGTGCATCTTAGCTTTGAAAGACACGGAGCTGTTCAAAAATAAATGATCGTAGTTTTGATATGTTTTGATTTGTGTCTTCCAAGTTTGTGACGGACAGTTTTAGTTAGATTTTGTCTGAGTTTTTGGGGTTAGTTTGCAGTGAATTTGACAAGTATATTTGTTTTCTTAGCGAATTGGTGCTTGTGTTTACTGTCCAGTGTTGTAGGTTTATTATATAACTGACTAGTGGATGATTGCCCCGAACAGTGTTGATTGTGTCAGATGAGGTGAGTAATTTGTGGTGAATGCAGTCGGCCTTGTATTACTAAGGGGACCGGGCCTGTGACAAAAGTGCTCATCTGTGAAGACTATCAGAGGTCAGGCATGATTTTGATGATCAAGGAGGCACCGATATCTGCCGGACCATATGATTCGCTGTTGTCTGCATCAAAGTGTGCGCCAATATTGAACTGTGTAGGCAGCTGATATGAGACTGTTATTACATGTTGATCGGTGGTATTTCCACTTGGTGAAGATGCTGCATTGACTCGAGAAGCTGAGTTCGCGAGATGTCCTTATGCATGTAGAAGAGGATAATTGCATTGTGTACCTGATAGGCTATGATATTCTGTAGGACTCATCACACTAGGAAGCGTTGGTTGCGACTATCTATATTTGTGGACTAAGATGGTCATGCATGGTAGTGTTGAAAGCGTAACTTACCGTTCTGGCTTTACATAATATGTCAGCGAAATCTTTAGATTCTTATCGCCTCGTCACTGCTTGCGAGGAGTGTTGGTGTACGCTGGACGACAGCCTACTCCTAGGTTTGATATTATGTAATGTCTTTGAAATGTATTGTCGACAGAATGTATAGTGTGATGTTAGCTGCTCCAAGTCTGATTTGTATTCTCCTCTATGAAAACGAGTATACATTTTTCGTGATATTTGCTTGTTAGATTATGAAAATCAGAGGTTTTATAAGCGATGTGTCGTTTACAATCAGTAAATGAAAAATTGAAAGCATTTATTTTCCGATATGAATTTAAAACAAGCAATAAAAGTTAATAAAGCAGGATTTAATGAATTCATCAAATTTCGGTAGAACTCGTCAGCTGAATACTCTACATACACGGATATATATATATCTTTTGAAATTACATTGGGAGATATAAGACTGATAAGTAAACAAACTACATTGAATTAGTCATGCAGAAAGACAGGTGCGAATGTTTTCCAGGTCATGTTCAAATAGATAAGGGGAGAGAGAGTATGAGAGATCAAAATTAAGATAAATTGCATTACGCTTCAATTACATCACTTAGATAAACAATTAGTCATTAGAGAATATAACAAGAATTGCAAACAGAGTAATATCAGTAGTAATAGTTACAATAACAATAATAATAATAATTGTTGAAGTGAGTTAAGATAATCCTACTGATAAAGGATAGTTTTAAATGAATCAAGAATAATAATAATAATAATAGAGGTAGAATAATAAGTAAAACGTATTACCATGGTAGATTCAGAGTCACGACCATCTCCTTTTGTACACAGAGACCTGGTTTATAAACTCGAATTGCACAAGCCTCTGCAATTGCAAGCATCTTCTTGTTTCTTTGTCTGCTGACAATAGTGAATGACTTGACCGCGTCGATATCATGTCCGTAGTCCACAAGATGTTTTGTTATTGAGGATTTTGGCACTTTGCACTCAGCTGTTTTCAACCATTTTGGCAAATGCTCCATCATGCGAGTAGACAATCGCCTTTCCGTACGACCTATGTATTTGCTTCCACAAACACACTCAAATTGATATACGCAGTTTGAAGTGTCGAGGATTGGCGACTGGTCTTTCCCAGATTGTTGAAGCACTCGCTTGGTGGTGTTGAGGAAAACAAGTTTTGCAGCATAATAAGTTCTCTTGGTAGCTTTATCGAGTCTTCGTCTGACTACTTCTTGTACATCATCTCCTTTGGATGGTAAACTGATTTAGGCAGATTTCTTTGGGACTGTTTGGATAATTTTGTTGGATCTCATTTCTTTAGAGTATTTATTAATGGACTTCTCAGGATATCCATTTTTAGACAAAATATCTTTCAGAGCCTTTATGTCGTGTTCAATTGTGCTATGAGGACAAAGTTTTCGTGCTTTATCGAACAGTGTTCTGACTAAGTTCTTTTTATACTGGATTGGAACAAAGCTTTTGAAATGCATGTACTGTCCTTTCCATGAAGACTTCCTAAATCTAAATCTTTCGATTGTGCCATCATTCATTTTGGCTAGGAAAACGTCTAGGAATTTAATAGTATCGATTTCCTCGTGGTCTACTGTGAAGTTGAGATTTGAATGGCATGAGTTGAATTTCATCAACACGTCTTCGCCTATTGATCAGCATAGTTGGAGAGGAACTACTATACTGAACAGCAGAGTATTGTCCTGTGTTCATGCTGTTGATGCATTTTTCGTGAAGGAATGTCGTACAAGTAGTTGAAATATGTTATGCTAGTGGTTTAAACCATGTGTTTCAGTCAGCGTAGTAATCCCATGTATTGAACATAAAAGATTGCTTAAGAATTAAATTTCTTAACAGTTAGGAGGTGATTGTCAGTGGAAGGAAGTAGTAGTATATCTCTCTGTGGGATGTAAAGGAGAGACGATTTTTATCACACATCATAGTTCTCGGAACCTTACAACTGACTTGTCCTTATGCAGCGCACAATTCGTGCTGTCTGCACCATCCACCTAGGCTTTCAGTCATATCAGAGATAAAGTTTTGAGAGAAGGAATTTGTTTTTATCTTCACCTTGGAATGTGCATTGATACTAGACCATAGATCTCATAGGATTGATGAAAACACCGAGATATTTTTGTTTTGAACTGTGTTTTCTGGAAGAATTATGCCTAATGTAGGAGAATAAAACACTGGCCTACAGTGTGGGAAGATAATTTCGAAGACTGAATTAGAAATGAGGTTCGGTTGCAAATCGCATGTCTCGTGTTGCCTTCAGTGTGACGTCATTGATGCATGCATATTTTGCGTGGTTGCCCTCAAGCGCCCATTCGGTTCGTCTTGAGTTTACAGGTAATTTGAAAGTGATAGCTGCGATTCCCTGTTGAATGTGACATTCTTCTGAGACTGTAATGGATGGTTGGTAGTAATTTTCCTGCTTGGCCACTAGCGTGTGTATATAGATGAATCCACACCAATCGATAAGTTTAGCGTATAGCACATCGAAGCACTTATTAATGTGGTCTCCTTTTATTTCGACAGAAGTTCAAGATTGTCGAACATTAAATTGTCTGTGAATGCCACGGATCCTGGAGTGTCAACGGGACAAAGTGTTGATGAAGACAAGGCGTCTCGTCCTGGTACCTCGAGTGCTGTTACATTGGAGTTGGCCCGTGGGAATGATATAGCCTGTGAGTTGTTGTCTCCAGACTCAGATGGTATGGGTGATTTGAAGGCGAAATCTGTGATCGACGACTGTCCGACCTTGGGGATTTCGTCGCCCGAATTAGAAAGAACCAACGGTGGAGTTGGGAGGTATGAACGCTGATTTATTGTTGAAGTGTGAGCGATTTGATGTGCATCTTAGCTTTGAAAGACACGGAGCTGTTCAAAAATAAATGATCGTAGTTTTGATATGTTTTGATTTGTGTCTTCCAAGTTTGTGACGGACAGTTTTAGTTAGATTTTGTCTGAGTTTTTGGGGTTAGTTTGCAGTGAATTTGACAAGTATATTTGTTTTCTTAGCGAATTGATGCTTGTGTTTACTGTCCAGTGTTATAGGTTTATTATATAACTGACTAGTGGATGATTGCCCCGAACAGTGTTGATTGTGTCAGATGAGGTGAGTAATTTGTGGTGAATGCAGTCGGCCTTGTATTACTAAGGGGACCGGGCCTGTGACAAAAGTGCTCATCTGTGAAGACTATCAGAGGTCAGGCATGATTTTGATGATCAAGGAGGCACCGATATCTGCCGGACCATATGATTCGCTGTTGTCTGCATCAAAATGTGCGCCAATATTGAACTGTGTAGGCAGCTGATATGAGACTGTTATTACATGTTGATCGGTGGTATTTCCACTTGGTGAAGATGCTGCATTGACTCGAGAAGCTGAGTTCGGGAGATGTCCTTATGCATGTAGAAGAGGATAATTGCATTGTGTACCTGATAGGCTATGATATTCTGTAGGACTCATCACACTAGGAAGCGTTGGTTGCGACTATCTATATTTGTGGACTAAGATGGTCATGCATGGTAGTGTTGAAAGCGTAACTTACCGTTCTGGCTTTACATATGTCAGCGAAATCTTTAGATTCTTATCGCCTCGTCACTGCTTGTGAGGAGTGTTGGTGTACGCTGGACGACAGCCTACCCCTAGGTTTGATATTATGTAATGTCTTTGAAATGTATTGTCGACAGAATGTATAGTGTGATGTTAGCTGCTCCAAGTCTGATTTGTATTCTCCTCTATGAAAACGAGTATACATTTTTCGTGATATTTGCTTGTTAGATTATGAAAATCAGAGGTTTTATAAGCGATGTGTCGTTTACAATCAGTAAATGAAAAATTGAAAGCATTTATTTTCCGATATGAATTTAAAACAAGCAATAAAAGTTAATAAAGCAGGATTTAATGAATTCATCAAATTTCGGTAGAACTCGTCAGCTGAATACTCTACATACACGGATATATATATATACTTTTGAAATTACATCGGGAGATATAAGACTGATAAGTAAACAAACTACATTAAATTAGTCATGCAGAAAGACAGGTGCGAATGTTTTTCAGGTCATCTTCAAATAGATAAGGGGAGAGACTGTATGAGGGATCAAAATTAAGATAAATTGCATTACTCTCCAATTACATCACTTAGATAAACAATTAGTCATCAGAAAATATAACAAGAATTGCAAACAGAGTAATATCAGTAGTAATAGTTACAATAACAATAATAATAATAATAATGTTGAAGTGAGTTAAGATAATCCTACTGATAAAAGATAGTTTTAAATGAATCAAGAATAATAATAATAATAATAGGAGGTAGAATAATAAGTAAAATGTATTACCATGGTAGATTCAGAGTCACGACCATCTCCTTTTGAACACAGAGACCTGGTTTATAAACTCGAATTGCACAAGCCTCTGCAATTGCAAGCATCTTCTGGTTTCTTTGTCTGCTAACAATAGTGAATGACTTGACCGCGTCGATATCATATCCGTAGTCCACAAGATGTTTTGTTATTGAGGATTTTGGCACTTTGCACTCAGCTGTTTTCAACCATTTTGGCAAATGCTCCATCATGCGAGTAGACAATCGCCTTTCCGTACGACCTATGTATTAGCTTTCAAAAACACACTCAAATTGATATACGCAGTTTGAAGAGTCGAGGATTGGCGACTGGTCTTTTCCAGATTGTTGAAGCACTCGCTTGGTGGTGTTGAGGAAAACAAGTTTTGCAGCATAATAAGTTCTCTTGGTAGCTTTATCGAGTCTTCGTCTGACTACTTCTTGTACATCATCTCCTTTGGATGGTAAACTGATTTAGGCAGATTTCTTTGGGACTGTTTGGATAATTTTGTTGGATCTCATTTCTTTAGAGTATTTATTAATGGACTTCTCAGGATATCCATTTTTAGACAAAATATCTTTCAGAGCCTTTATGTCGTGTTCAATTGTGCTATGAGGACAAAGTTTTCGTGCTTTATCGAACAGTGTTCTGACTAAGTTCTTTTTATACTGGATTGGAACAAAGCTTTTGAAATGCATGTACTGTCCTTTCCATGAAGACTTCCTAAATCTAAATCTTTCGATTGTGCCATCATTCATTTTGGCTAGGAAAACGTCTAGGAATTTAATAGTATCGATTTCCTCGTGGTCTACTGTGAAGTTGAGATTTGAATGGCATGAGTTGAATTTCATCAACACGTCTTCGCCTATTGATCAGCATAGTTGGAGAGGAACTACTATACTGAACAGCAGAGTATTGTCCTGTGTTCATGCTGTTGATGCATTTTTCGTGAAGGAATGTCGTACAAGTAGTTGAAATATGTTATGCTAGTGGTTTAAACCATGTGTTTCAGTCAGCGTAGTAATCCCATGTATTGAACATAAAAGATTGCTTAAGAATTAAATTTCTTAACAGTTAGGAGGTGATTGTCAGTGGAAGGAAGTAGTAGTATATCTCTCTGTGGGATGTAAAGGAGAGACGATTTTTATCACACATCATAGTTCTCGGAACCTTACAACTGACTTGTCCTTATGCAGCGCACAATTCGTGCTGTCTGCACCATCCACCTAGGCTTTCAGTCATATCAGAGATAAAGTTTTGAGAGAAGGAATTTGTTTTTATCTTCACCTTGGAATGTGCATTGATACTAGACCATAGATCTCATAGGATTGATGAAAACACCGAGATATTTTTGTTTTGAACTGTGTTTTCTGGAAGAATTATGCCTAATGTAGGAGAATAAAACACTGGCCTACAGTGTGGGAAGATAATTTCGAAGACTGAATTAGAAATGAGGTTCGGTTGCAAATCGCATGTCTCGTGTTGCCTTCAGTGTGACGTCATTGATGCATGCATATTTTGCGTGGTTGCCCTCAAGCGCCCATTCGGTTCGTCTTGAGTTTACAGGTAATTTGAAAGTGATAGCTGCGATTCCCTGTTGAATGTGACATTCTTCTGAGACTGTAATGGATGGTTGGTAGTAATTTTCCTGCTTGGCCACTAGCGTGTGTATATAGATGAATCCACACCAATCGATAAGTTTAGCGTATAGCACATCGAAGCACTTATTAATGTGGTCTCCTTTTATTTCGACAGAAGTTCAAGATTGTCGAACATTAAATTGTCTGTGAATGCCACGGATCCTGGAGTGTCAACGGGACAAAGTGTTGATGAAGACAAGGCGTCTCGTCCTGGTACCTCGAGTGCTGTTACATTGGAGTTGGCCCGTGGGAATGATATAGCCTGTGAGTTGTTGTCTCCAGACTCAGATGGTATGGGTGATTTGAAGGCGAAATCTGTGATCGACGACTGTTCGACCTTGGGGATTTCGTCGCCCGAATTAGAAAGAACCAACGGTGGAGTTGGGAGGTATGAACGCTGATTTATTGTTGAAGTGTGAGCGATTTGATGTGCATCTTAGCTTTGAAAGACACGGAGCTGTTCAAAAATAAATGGTTGTAGTTTTGATATGTTTTGATTTGTGTCTTCCAAGTTTGTGACGGACAGTTTTAGTTAGATTTTGTCTGAGTTTTTGGGGTTAGTTTGCAGTGAATTTGACAAGTATATTTGTTTTCTTAGCGAATTGATGCTTGTGTTTACTGTCCAGTGTTATAGGTTTATTATATAACTGACTAGTGGATGATTGCCCCGAACAGTGTTGATTGTGTCAGATGAGGTGAGTAATTTGTGGTGAATGCAGTCGGCCTTGTATTACTAAGGGGACCGGGCCTGTGACAAAAGTGCTCATCTGTGAAGACTATCAGAGGTTGGACATGATTTTGATGATCAAGGAGGCACCGATATCTGCCGGTCCATATGATTCGCTGTTGTCTGCATCAAAATGTGCGCCAATATTGAACTGTGTAGGCAGCTGATATGAGACTGTTATTACATGTTGATCGGTGGTATTTCCACTTGGTGAAGATGCTGCATTGACTCGAGAAGCTGAGTTCGGGAGATGTCCTTATGCATGTAGAAGAGGATAATTGCATTGTGTACATGATAGGCTATGATATTCTGTAGGACTCATCACACTAGGAAGCGTTGGTTGCGACTATCTATATTTGTGGACTAAGATGGTCATGCATGGTAGTGTTGAAAGCGTAACTTACCGTTCTGGCTTTACATAATATGTCAGCGAAATCTTTAGATTCTTATCGCCTCGTCACTGCTTGCGAGGAGTGTTGGTGTACGCTGGACGACAGCCTACTCCTAGGTTTGATATTATGTAATGTCTTTGAAATGTATTGTCGACAGAATGTATAGTGTGATGTTAGCTGCTCCAAGTCTGATTTGTATTCTCCTCTATGAAAACGAGTATACATTTTTCGTGATATTTGCTTGTTAGATTATGAAAATCAGAGGTTTTATAAGCGATGTGTCGTTTACAATCAGTAAATGAAAAATTGAAAGCATTTATTTTCCGATATGAATTTAAAACAAGCAATAAAAGTTAATAAAGCAGGATTTAATGAATTCATCAAATTTCGGTAGAACTCGTCAGCTGAATACTCTACATACACGGATATATATATATACTTTTGAAATTACATCGGGAGATATAAGACTGATAAGTAAACAAACTACATTAAATTAGTCATGCAGAAAGACAGGTGCGAATGTTTTTCAGGTCATCTTCAAATAGATAAGGGGAGAGACTGTATGAGGGATCAAAATTAAGATAAATTGCATTACTCTCCAATTACATCACTTAGATAAACAATTAGTCATCAGAAAATATAACAAGAATTGCAAACAGAGTAATATCAGTAGTAATAGTTACAATAACAATAATAATAATAATAATGTTGAAGTGAGTTAAGATAATCCTACTGATAAAAGATAGTTTTAAATGAATCAAGAATAATAATAATAATAATAGGAGGTAGAATAATAAGTAAAATGTATTACCATGGTAGATTCAGAGTCACGACCATCTCCTTTTGAACACAGAGACCTGGTTTATAAACTCGAATTGCACAAGCCTCTGCAATTGCAAGCATCTTCTGGTTTCTTTGTCTGCTAACAATAGTGAATGACTTGACCGCGTCGATATCATATCCGTAGTCCACAAGATGTTTTGTTATTGAGGATTTTGGCACTTTGCACTCAGCTGTTTTCAACCATTTTGGCAAATGCTCCATCATGCGAGTAGACAATCGCCTTTCCGTACGACCTATGTATTAGCTTTCAAAAACACACTCAAATTGATATACGCAGTTTGAAGAGTCGAGGATTGGCGACTGGTCTTTTCCAGATTGTTGAAGCACTCGCTTGGTGGTGTTGAGGAAAACAAGTTTTGCAGCATAATAAGTTCTCTTGGTAGCTTTATCGAGTCTTCGTCTGACTACTTCTTGTACATCATCTCCTTTGGATGGTAAACTGATTTAGGCAGATTTCTTTGGGACTGTTTGGATAATTTTGTTGGATCTCATTTCTTTAGAGTATTTATTAATGGACTTCTCAGGATATCCATTTTTAGACAAAATATCTTTCAGAGCCTTTATGTCGTGTTCAATTGTGCTATGAGGACAAAGTTTTCGTGCTTTATCGAACAGTGTTCTGACTAAGTTCTTTTTATACTGGATTGGAACAAAGCTTTTGAAATGCATGTACTGTCCTTTCCATGAAGACTTCCTAAATCTAAATCTTTCGATTGTGCCATCATTCATTTTGGCTAGGAAAACGTCTAGGAATTTAATAGTATCGATTTCCTCGTGGTCTACTGTGAAGTTGAGATTTGAATGGCATGAGTTGAATTTCATCAACACGTCTTCGCCTATTGATCAGCATAGTTGGAGAGGAACTACTATACTGAACAGCAGAGTATTGTCCTGTGTTCATGCTGTTGATGCATTTTTCGTGAAGGAATGTCGTACAAGTAGTTGAAATATGTTATGCTAGTGGTTTAAACCATGTGTTTCAGTCAGCGTAGTAATCCCATGTATTGAACATAAAAGATTGCTTAAGAATTAAATTTCTTAACAGTTAGGAGGTGATTGTCAGTGGAAGGAAGTAGTAGTATATCTCTCTGTGGGATGTAAAGGAGAGACGATTTTTATCACACATCATAGTTCTCGGAACCTTACAACTGACTTGTCCTTATGCAGCGCACAATTCGTGCTGTCTGCACCATCCACCTAGGCTTTCAGTCATATCAGAGATAAAGTTTTGAGAGAAGGAATTTGTTTTTATCTTCACCTTGGAATGTGCATTGATACTAGACCATAGATCTCATAGGATTGATGAAAACACCGAGATATTTTTGTTTTGAACTGTGTTTTCTGGAAGAATTATGCCTAATGTAGGAGAATAAAACACTGGCCTACAGTGTGGGAAGATAATTTCGAAGACTGAATTAGAAATGAGGTTCGGTTGCAAATCGCATGTCTCGTGTTGCCTTCAGTGTGACGTCATTGATGCATGCATATTTTGCGTGGTTGCCCTCAAGCGCCCATTCGGTTCGTCTTGAGTTTACAGGTAATTTGAAAGTGATAGCTGCGATTCCCTGTTGAATGTGACATTCTTCTGAGACTGTAATGGATGGTTGGCAGTAATTTTCCTGCTTGGCCACTAGCGTGTGTATATAGATGAATCCACACCAATTGATAAGTTTAGCGTATAGTACATCGAAGCACTTATTAACGTGGTCTCCTTTTATTTCGACAGAAGTTCAAGATTGTCGAACATTAAATTGTCTGTGAATGCCACGGATCCTGGAGTGTCAACGGGACAAAGTGTTGATGAAGACAAGGCGTCTCGTCCTGGTACCTCGAGTGCTGTTACATTGGAGTTGGCCCGTGGGAATGATATAGCCTGTGAGTTGTTGTCTCCAGACTCAGATGGTATGGGTGATTTGAAGGCGAAATCTGTGATCGACGACTGTCCGACCTTGGGGATTTCGTCGCCCGAATTAGAAAGAACCAACGGTGGAGTTGGGAGGTATGAACGCTGATTTATTGTTGAAGTGTGAGCGATTTGATGTGCATCTTAGCTTTGAAAGACACGGAGCTGTTCAAAAATAAATGATCGTAGTTTTGATATGTTTTGATTTGTGTCTTCCAAGTTTGTGACGGACAGTTTTAGTTAGATTTTGTCTGAGTTTTTGGGGTTAGTTTGCAGTGAATTTGACAAGTATATTTGTTTTCTTAGCGAATTGATGCTTGTGTTTACTGTCCAGTGTTATAGGTTTATTATATAACTGACTAGTGGATGATTGCCCCGAACAGTGTTGATTGTGTCAGATGAGGTGAGTAATTTGTGGTGAATGCAGTCGGCCTTGTATTACTAAGGGGACCGGGCCTGTGACAAAAGTGCTCATCTGTGAAGACTATCAGAGGTTAGACATGATTTTGATGATCAAGGAGGCACCGATATCTGCCGGTCCATATGATTCGCTGTTGTCTGCATCAAAATGTGCGCAAATATTGAACTGTGTAGGCAGCTGATATGAGACTGTTATTACATGTTGATCGGTGGTATTTCCACTTGGTGAAGATGCTGCATTGACTCGAGAAGCTGAGTTCGGGAGATGTCCTTATGCATGTAGAAGAGGATAATTGCATTGTGTACATGATAGGCTATGATATTCTGTAGGACTCATCACACTAGGAAGCGTTGGTTGCGACTATCTATATTTGTGGACTAAGATGGTCATGCATGGTAGTGTTGAAAGCGTAACTTACCGTTCTGGCTTTACATAATATGTCAGCGAAATCTTTAGATTCTTATCGCCTCGTCACTGCTTGCGAGGAGTGTTGGTGTACGCTGGACGACAGCCTACTCCTAGGTTTGATATTATGTAATGTCTTTGAAATGTATTGTCGACAGAATGTATAGTGTGATGTTAGCTGCTCCAAGTCTGATTTGTATTCTCCTCTATGAAAACGAGTATACATTTTTCGTGATATTTGCTTGTTAGATTATGAAAATCAGAGGTTTTATAAGCGATGTGTCGTTTACAATCAGTAAATGAAAAATTGAAAGCATTTATTTTCCGATATGAATTTAAAACAAGCAATAAAAGTTAATAAAGCAGGATTTAATGAATTCATCAAATTTCGGTAGAACTCGTCAGCTGAATACTCTACATACACGGATATATATATATACTTTTGAAATTACATCGGGAGATATAAGACTGATAAGTAAACAAACTACATTAAATTAGTCATGCAGAAAGACAGGTGCGAATGTTTTTCAGGTCATCTTCAAATAGATAAGGGGAGAGACTGTATGAGGGATCAAAATTAAGATAAATTGCATTACTCTCCAATTACATCACTTAGATAAACAATTAGTCATCAGAAAATATAACAAGAATTGCAAACAGAGTAATATCAGTAGTAATAGTTACAATAACAATAATAATAATAATAATGTTGAAGTGAGTTAAGATAATCCTACTGATAAAAGATAGTTTTAAATGAATCAAGAATAATAATAATAATAATAGGAGGTAGAATAATAAGTAAAATGTATTACCATGGTAGATTCAGAGTCACGACCATCTCCTTTTGAACACAGAGACCTGGTTTATAAACTCGAATTGCACAAGCCTCTGCAATTGCAAGCATCTTCTGGTTTCTTTGTCTGCTAACAATAGTGAATGACTTGACCGCGTCGATATCATATCCGTAGTCCACAAGATGTTTTGTTATTGAGGATTTTGGCACTTTGCACTCAGCTGTTTTCAACCATTTTGGCAAATGCTCCATCATGCGAGTAGACAATCGCCTTTCCGTACGACCTATGTATTAGCTTTCAAAAACACACTCAAATTGATATACGCAGTTTGAAGAGTCGAGGATTGGCGACTGGTCTTTTCCAGATTGTTGAAGCACTCGCTTGGTGGTGTTGAGGAAAACAAGTTTTGCAGCATAATAAGTTCTCTTGGTAGCTTTATCGAGTCTTCGTCTGACTACTTCTTGTACATCATCTCCTTTGGATGGTAAACTGATTTAGGCAGATTTCTTTGGGACTGTTTGGATAATTTTGTTGGATCTCATTTCTTTAGAGTATTTATTAATGGACTTCTCAGGATATCCATTTTTAGACAAAATATCTTTCAGAGCCTTTATGTCGTGTTCAATTGTGCTATGAGGACAAAGTTTTCGTGCTTTATCGAACAGTGTTCTGACTAAGTTCTTTTTATACTGGATTGGAACAAAGCTTTTGAAATGCATGTACTGTCCTTTCCATGAAGACTTCCTAAATCTAAATCTTTCGATTGTGCCATCATTCATTTTGGCTAGGAAAACGTCTAGGAATTTAATAGTATCGATTTCCTCGTGGTCTACTGTGAAGTTGAGATTTGAATGGCATGAGTTGAATTTCATCAACACGTCTTCGCCTATTGATCAGCATAGTTGGAGAGGAACTACTATACTGAACAGCAGAGTATTGTCCTGTGTTCATGCTGTTGATGCATTTTTCGTGAAGGAATGTCGTACAAGTAGTTGAAATATGTTATGCTAGTGGTTTAAACCATGTGTTTCAGTCAGCGTAGTAATCCCATGTATTGAACATAAAAGATTGCTTAAGAATTAAATTTCTTAACAGTTAGGAGGTGATTGTCAGTGGAAGGAAGTAGTAGTATATCTCTCTGTGGGATGTAAAGGAGAGACGATTTTTATCACACATCATAGTTCTCGGAACCTTACAACTGACTTGTCCTTATGCAGCGCACAATTCGTGCTGTCTGCACCATCCACCTAGGCTTTCAGTCATATCAGAGATAAAGTTTTGAGAGAAGGAATTTGTTTTTATCTTCACCTTGGAATGTGCATTGATACTAGACCATAGATCTCATAGGATTGATGAAAACACCGAGATATTTTTGTTTTGAACTGTGTTTTCTGGAAGAATTATGCCTAATGTAGGAGAATAAAACACTGGCCTACAGTGTGGGAAGATAATTTCGAAGACTGAATTAGAAATGAGGTTCGGTTGCAAATCGCATGTCTCGTGTTGCCTTCAGTGTGACGTCATTGATGCATGCATATTTTGCGTGGTTGCCCTCAAGCGCCCATTCGGTTCGTCTTGAGTTTACAGGTAATTTGAAAGTGATAGCTGCGATTCCCTGTTGAATGTGACATTCTTCTGAGACTGTAATGGATGGTTGGTAGTAATTTTCCTGCTTGGCCACTAGCGTGTGTATATAGATGAATCCACACCAATCGATAAGTTTAGCGTATAGCACATCGAAGCACTTATTAATGTGGTCTCCTTTTATTTCGACAGAAGTTCAAGATTGTCGAACATTAAATTGTCTGTGAATGCCACGGATCCTGGAGTGTCAACGGGACAAAGTGTTGATGAAGACAAGGCGTCTCGTCCTGGTACCTCGAGTGCTGTTACATTGGAGTTGGCCCGTGGGAATGATATAGCCTGTGAGTTGTTGTCTCCAGACTCAGATGGTATGGGTGATTTGAAGGCGAAATCTGTGATCGACGACTGTTCGACCTTGGGGATTTCGTCGCCCGAATTAGAAAGAACCAACGGTGGAGTTGGGAGGTATGAACGCTGATTTATTGTTGAAGTGTGAGCGATTTGATGTGCATCTTAGCTTTGAAAGACACGGAGCTGTTCAAAAATAAATGATCGTAGTTTTGATATGTTTTGATTTGTGTCTTCCAAGTTTGTGACGGACAGTTTTAGTTAGATTTTGTCTGAGTTTTTGGGGTTAGTTTGCAGTGAATTTGACAAGTATATTTGTTTTCTTAGCGAATTGGTGCTTGTGTTTACTGTCCAGTGTTGTAGGTTTATTATATAACTGACTAGTGGATGATTGCCCCGAACAGTGTTGATTGTGTCAGATGAGGTGAGTAATTTGTGGTGAATGCAGTCGGCCTTGTATTACTAAGGGGACCGGGCCTGTGACAAAAGTGCTCATCTGTGAAGACTATCAGAGGTCAGGCATGATTTTGATGATCAAGGAGGCACCGATATCTGCCGGACCATATGATTCGCTGTTGTCTGCATCAAAATGTGCGCCAATATTGAACTGTGTAGGCAGCTGATATGAGACTGTTATTACATGTTGATCGGTGGTATTTCCACTTGGTGAAGATGCTGCATTGACTCGAGAAGCTGAGTTCGCGAGATGTCCTTATGCATGTAGAAGAGGATAATTGCATTGTGTACCTGATAGGCTATGATATTCTGTAGGACTCATCACACTAGGAAGCGTTGGTTGCGACTATCTATATTTGTGGACTAAGATGGTCATGCATGGTAGTGTTGAAAGCGTAACTTACCGTTCTGGCTTTACATAATATGTCAGCGAAATCATTAGATTCTTATCGCCTCGTCAGTGCTTGCGAGGAGTGTTGGCGTACACTGGACAACAGCCTACCCTTAGGTTTGATATTATGCAATGTCTTTGAAATATATTGTCGACAGAATGTATAGTGTGATGTTAGCTGCTCCAAGTCTGATTTGTATTCTCCTCTATGAAAATTGGTTTTTTTTCGCAACTTTCTTTTTTTATTATAATTCGTTAACTTTGAGTTACAGTGGAGTCCTGGATGAGCATTGCTCTTGATTTTGGTCTCCTTACGAGTATGTTCGTGGATTTCGCATTGAGTTATGTTGTTCCCATCGACTTTCTAACGCTATTCTTTTAGTTTCATTGGCGATAGCTTTATGCACTAGATGACTTTTTCGCCGAGATCGACCTGATTTTGCAACTGGTCCTAATAGTATATTTGTTTTTGAGATTTTCCCGTCGACTGATTGGACCGGTATGCTCGGTGTCAGGTTGCCATATCGGTTTCTTGTGAAGATGCCTCGACGATATGTGGGCATTTAATTAGAATTTAATTTGTTGATGGTGGCTGAACCGCTGCTAATTAGGTGGCTCTCGTGACCCAAGTGGTTTAGTGGATAACGTTTGGCGTTTGAAACTAAGGACACTGGGTTTCAAGCCTTGGTGTGAACATCATCACTCACCAGTAAATGCAGATACATCCTGATGACGAGTCCCAAATAAGACGAAATGCGCATCCTGGATTCCGCTGCTAGTCACCATCCACAAATTTAATTTCAATTAAATGCCCAGACAGTGTCGAGGCATCTGCACAAAAAGGCGACATGTCAACCTAGAGCGAGCACTTCGGTCCAATCAATCGACGGGAAAATCTCAAATTCAACTAAACTCACTTTTTTGTTTTGATTTTTGAATTGCTTTTGGTTCTGGAATTTTTACTTTTTACTTTCTGTGGGCTGTTTTCTTTTGTGTGTTTTGCTGGTTCTTGTTTTTGTTTTACTCTGTTTGTTGTTTTGTGATGGATTTTCTTGAATGGTTTTTGTGGTTTCTTCTCGAATTTTTTTAATAGGTTATTTTGTTCTTTTTTGGAATACTCTTTTTCCGTTATTATTTGTGTCTGTCATGTGTTTTGAGTTAGTTTTTCATTTTCAGCCGTATGATGTTATTTTTGTTTTCTGTTTCTTTTGATTTTTTGTTCACTTCTCTGGTTGATGGTGATTTGTTTTTGCATGTTACGTCTTCTTCTATCTGTTTTTTCAGTGTTTCTTTTATTGTCTCATCTGGTTGTTATATTTATTTTGTTAGTTTTGCTCTGCCGTTTGCACTATTTTTTTGGGTGTTTCTCTGTGCAGTGACTTTTGAGTGGCGCAATACATTTCTGTTGATTAGTTTTACTATAAGTTTTTGAAGGCATTACTTTTCGAGTTAAAAATCAACTTGCTCCTCAGAAATTTGTAAATCTTTTTATTTTTAACTCTACTCATTTTGGTTTGTTGTTAGTGCCTCAATCTAGTGCTCGCCAATCACACATGTACTTATGGATACAATATCCGGGTGACACCACCACTCCTACCGAAACCTCCTTCAGAGTTCTATCTTGAAGCCCTATGTTCTACTAGGAATGTAGATGAATGAAGTTTTAAAAAATCCAATCATTGTGAGTGATTATATGTGCATGCGAAATGGTGTCCTATCCGATATATATGTATATATGTACATGTGTTTGTGTGTTTTACGTCATCCACACCTTGGTAAATATACACTCTTATTTCTGTTTTTCTTAAGGTCTAATGATTTCTTCCAGGATAATGACGACTGCAGCTCAGTAACCAAAGTTAACAGTTTCGTACAGGACATTAAAAATCAATTAGCTGTCTACATAAATCAAATCTCATCATCGTCTCATCCTATTTATGATTCTTCTAAATCAGACGCATCTCTTGATTTGAATGTGGTAAATTGAATATGTTTCAGTACTGTTGAAGTTTTATAGTGTTATGCTGTTTACGAGATACTGTTATTGTTATTAACGAAAATAATATGACTTATTCATAAATGAATTATGTTATCGTATGAAATTATTAACTGAAAGTAGGAGGCATGTTGCTAAGTCATTCAGAGGACAAAGGATTATGAGTGGTGTGGCATTTTCAGATACATATTTTTCTAGTGTGTTTCTGAATCGTCAAAGCGCGTCGCTGGCATAGAGGTTAGGACTCTCGCCGTCCATGCACATGGTCCGGGGTTCGATCCCTGGCTGACTCACTCCTTTGCCTCCCTAAGCCAGAAATAATGCCGGTAAAGAGGGAAGGTTGGGAATGAGGCTAGCAACCCCATCCTGTAAAATAAGCACTGCTACAGAAACTTCAAGCCACTAGCTTGAAGCCCTATGTTCCACTGGGGAACGTGAAGGAAAAAAAAACCTGAATCGTCTAACAACATGCCATTCAGTTTCACTCAAATGATTGATTCAGTGTTTCAGATAATTCAGAATTGAGGATAAATCATACATTACTAGATTGTTCTAATACATTATAATGAATGTTTTGAGATTCCAGTTTACTCATAGTGTGGTGATGTGATACAGACAATGTGTTCCAACGGATTATTATTCTCACATATTCCCACAGTTCAATGCTGCATTAGCAACAGAACAACGTATGCATTTGAACATTCTATTTCACACCGCACAATGTAAACAAAAGTCACACACTAAACGAAAGCTTAGAGAATATAGAAGTATATATATATATATAGCAGTTTGATCACTTTAAAATATACCTTGGCTTCCGTGTCTTGCCTTCTGGTATTACAATCGTACTATGTATTGAATGATTTAAAGTGTGATGGTATAAGGCATTTGGCTAAGTCATCTAACATATAGCACTACTTTATTTAGATTCGTGATCTTAATAATGCAACTTTAAAGTAGACCTGGGTGAAATGTTAACTGGTTGTTAAGATCGATCCCTTCTACTGCACTGTGATTAGAACTTGTTTTGTTGTATAATAAGGAGTTTAATTTTGTATTGACCATTTTACAAATGCCCTACGCATTAAATATTGCTTTGTTCGCATGTTCTACTATTTTAGGCTGAATGTATTAGTGAAAATACTGCGAATATTTTAGAATGCTTTCAAATTAATAAAAACAATATGCAAATATATGCCTTTAGCAGCATTTGTATGATTTATGACTGTTGCCTTCATCAGAAGCACTAAAATTACGTCTGGTGACATTATAAGCTTGTAATAAAAATGTTAAACAATTTCAATCTGAAAAAAGTGGTAAAAGATGAGCACGGCCAATAACTAGAAATAATGAGCGAATTTTGGTTATATAGCATAATTCGTCGTATTCTGTCCAAAATGTAACCAATACTTTGTAATTCTGACCATTATTCAACCACTACTTTCCGAATTTGACCATTATTTAGGCAACATATCCTCCTCATTTTCACCATTATCTAACCGTGATTTACCAATGACATTGCAATTGTTACCATTTGCGAAAAATCTAAGTATTTTAACCGTTATTCAACCAATACTTCGCCCATTTTTGTCCGACTGTTAACAGTAATATCTAAGGTATTTAACTGTAATCGTGGTAAATACTCAATCAGGATATTAGAGCGAGAAAAGAACACGAAGTTCAGTACAGATATCTTTTCGCCGATTTCATTCTCAAATGCTGTACAATCGTATTTACATACCTAAGTTCACATAGATACAATTATTATTTATTTAATTCCACATAGTAGAGAACGTGATTAAAGGTGATGATAATTTTTAACTTGGTATGAAAGTTCAAAGATGTGAATATAGATTACAAGGGGCTTAGAAACAAAATTACACAGAATAAGGAAGTACTGACGTTATATCTATAATAGTCTTCTTTTTCAACGAATATAAGTGTGAACGGAATGAACGTATAAACTAATTAGGATAAAAGCTTTTTCTCATAACTGAAATAATAATTTCCACGCATTTTGTTTATTTATTCTGCTTATCATCAGTCGATCTTTTTAGGTCACCTGCCTCGTTTTACTCAACGTAAAGATTCCGGTGAATTTGGTTGAAATTTCGACATACTTCACTTTTGTGAAAATCCTGAAGATAAGTGAATGCAATTTACAATCATCTGATATTTCCAGAATGTTTCACCTACCAAATTTAGAAGTCCTGGATCTCAGTGTAAGCAGATTGTATATAATAGTCGGTATACACAATAATACGAATAAATGGAACAACAAGCATAAAGATTTCAAGCTGATAACAATCATTCCTTTCTCTTCCTAATGACCATCCTTATATACACTTGATATTATTCTGCTACTACTATTGCTCTGGCTGTTTTTTAAAAAAAACTAAGACTTCAACCAACGATTTCGGGTGCTTTGATCGTTGAGAACATAAAACGCATGTACAACAGCATAAATTGAATATATTATAGCCAACTGTAGAAGATGAGAATTTTGAAGAGTATGATTCATTACTAGGTGACCTACTAAATATTTTGTATAGGTGCGGACAGTTACTCATCGAAAAAGACATTGTGAAGTGGTCGCGCTATGTCGTGAAATGGCAGAAAGTAGAATTCATAAAGCTGGCCATTGGATCGGGTCCCAGTGGCTTAACGGTCTATGAGCTCGCCTTGTAACGAGAGGTCCTGGGTTTGAACCCTGGCGGTGGGTGCACCCTTATGAGAATTCGCAGACTACGATGGGGAGACAGCTCTCAAGTACTCGCTGCAGGCTTTCCAATGGGTCATTAACTGATGTCAGCTCATAATGAAACCCTCCAATGAATGCATATCTTTACTTTGTATTTTTCGATAGTTTGCACTGACAAAGGGATTTACTCTAGATTTCTGCACGTGTAAAATTATACAAAAGTTATTTTGAGGTTATACTTTCAGTGGGAATATTATAAAGTTTTCACCAGAAAAGTTCCAGGTCATTTAAGAAAAGTGTAATTTTGAGATATATGCTTATTTATCCAGGTAAAGTTAGCACAAGTGAAAATAAATTAACATTCAAGTGTTGGTTTTCAGGAATTTGATTGGTTTCACGATGTAATAATAATTCGACATTGGTTAGAGAAATATTGGGATACCTAGTAGTACTGGATAGCTGTTTCGTCCTATTTTAGGACTCTTCGCTGCTGAAATCAAATGATGAAATCCTGAAGTAAAAATAACAACTTCAGTGATGTGAATTTTCATAAAACTAGTTTTATTTAGAAACTTTATTGTTAAAGATAATTATTTTATTGTTTTTTTGAAAGTTATTTCATTAGTTTTTTTGAAGTTAAATCTTTCAAAAACCCTGGAGTGTTTATGTAATGAAAATTTGGAGACAGAGAGGGAGAGAGGGCTCAAGATGAATTATTGAAAGTGTTGTTTACTAATTCTATACGCAGCTATATTCCTCTGCATTTCATCTAACTTCAGTAGATATGTAAATATCTATTCTGTTATAATAACTGACATATAGTACTAGATTTCGGGTCTTAGTCTATCCCAGAACGCTTATAGTTGAAGATCACAGGGAGTACGATGACCCACCAATTATCTTCAGATGGTTCCCCAACGGAAATCTTGTTTTAAATTAGGCCAGAGACATATTATGAGTGATTGTGTACGTGATCTAGAAACCAGACATTTAAGCCTAACCCTCTAGATTAAGAATCAAGTCACTGAATTTTTATTGATGCACACTATCTAGTCAGAACATATATGTTAAATTGGTGGTTAACTGGTTGGTTATGAAAAATAACAGTATAATTAGGTGTAATTTCTTAATTATACTGCCATTTCTATGGAGCAATAAAACGTTTACCATCTCAGTCAGTCTTCTGTGTCTTTCTCAGTGTGACAATAATATTTGAGTGGTCAGTCGTGTATAATTGTGGGAAGTAGCAGTAAGAACGAACCCAAAATGCGGTATAATATCATAGTCATAACATACTCATTAACCGCTTTAGCCGCTATAAAAGTTGCCCTTCAATTATGAAGATAGTGTTTTGCATTCTGAATAAATATGTCGTTGTGTAGTGGATTTTTGCTGCTTAAGAACCTGTATTAAGTCCGAGCGAAAATTCCATCTTTCAATGTGTGTGCAATGCAATTCATTTTCCCTTCATGCTTTACAATATAATTTTGTTGACAACAATACTTGATGGTGTACTGAATTTCATTACAATGAAAACATCTTGTATCACAATGCATAAATATTTTTCTTCTGTGCTTTAGATAAATAAGTTGAGCATTCTTGACTTCAGTGGAGTTAACCTAACAAAATTAACCATTCTGAAACTGAATAATAATCAAATTAAAAGAATCTCAGATATTACAGGACATTTCCCTAATCTCATAATGCTAGATGTATCGTCCAATTTCATTACAAGTATTGGTAAGTTTCTGTTGAAATTTCTAAACTCCGCTGAGTGATGTTACTGTTTGTTTTTTACGTTTTCGATGACAGAATATATTTTAAGATGCATTACATTTCTTGTAATGAAGTCGTAACCTGTTTGATACCTATGAAAAGTAAATAATGTTAATTTAGTAGTTCGTAAATGGTCTGAATATCACGTAACTTGAGTGGTGAGCTTTTACTGACGAATAAATGATGTGAATGCGTAGATTTGTTTGCTTAGTAAATGCATTAAAGATCATGAATATATCCGAAATGATATTGGAAAGTGCTTCGACGCAATCATGTATACCCTAACACAATTTCTCTCAAAAGACACACATTAAATCATATTGACTGTGTTCCTTCACGTATCCCTGAATTTGTAAGGAATATTTCACAAATATCTACAGCTTTATATAAAACTTATCCATTAATAAGCACCAAAAGTTTAATGAGCGCGTTACTGTGGTCGCCAACATGCAAACATTATCTATCAATTCTAAACTGTCTAATAGGCTCAAACTGGCGATTCTTATCGGAAGTCTTGTGGTAATCCTGAGAGATACGTGTACAGTCATTCTTCCATGTCTTTATCTAAATTGCAAATGGAAGTCTCGTGTGTGTGGGTTCGCAGTTTCCCGATGTTAATCTCGATTTCAACAAGCTTCATCCTCACGTTCAGTTTGAAAATCTACTCGGCCAAACAAACGATTTTTTATCGTGTTCTGATAAAGATTTCCAATGCTTCAAATCTATCATCATTGATTCTTGTAATCAGTGACTTAACGCTAAACCACTAATGCATAGTCTTCTAACCAAACAACTCCAATGAATAGCTTAAACAATTGAAACACAATTAAGACATACTATTAACATTAGCAAGGGCACAGGACAGGTGTTGTCATTGTGGTTTGTAAGGATTACATCGATAAAATGTCACATCTACTTTCCGACAGCAGCAAATTCTTGAAACCTACCAATGAGGAAGACAAAAGAGAATTAATCGAAAAGCAACTTACAGAGGCTTTACAAATAATGGAGAACATTGATCTGATTCGTGAATAACTTTATGAAAGGATTAAGTCAATAGGGTCTTTAATGCCAAGACACAAAACTGACCTACCACTCCGGCCTATTCTGGATTCCCTTACCATTCAATAGCTAAGTGGTTACCTGAAATCCTTGAACCCGTCAGATGACAATTATCTACCCATTCCCTTCGTGACACCCTCCAGTTTGTTGAATGTATTCATGATACAAATGCTACGGATAAACACATGTTATCTTTAGATTTAGAATCCCTATTTACTAACGCTCCATTGGTAGAAAGCATATGTTTTATATGTGGTATATTGAGAACAACAATTTGAATGTAGGGATACCTACTACACATTTAAAAGAACTACTTTTGAGATATACATTAAGTGTACAATTCACTTTCATTGAAACAGCCTAGAGACAAAAGGGTGACCTTGTCATGGGATCTTCTTTGACTCTTCTCATTCCAGGCTGTTGTATGGCCAGTCCAAAAAATAAAGTCACCAATCCATAGTTTTCCAATGTATAAAAATCATGTAGATGACACCTGTATTATTTAAGATGATGGCTAAGATTTGAACAGTATATTCAATGCATTTAATGACCGCCACCCAGTAATAAAATTCACCAACGGAATGGAGAATGATTTGGAAATTCATTTTCTTGATGGAGGACTGACGGAACTCTGAAGAGAGTAATTTATACAAACCTGTCATGGAATGGTCAGCTGATAAGATTTTACAGTTGGGTATCCATTAGTCGTATACTAAATCTGATTCGATCACTTATCACTCGCACTTAGCGCATATGTAGTCCTGATGCTGGAGAGGAAGAGTTAAATCTTCTAAGAAAATTCCTAACGGAAAATGGGTTTTCGCCATATTTTATGAACAAAAATATACAGTTGAACCCCATGAAATGTGATTTAACGTCTGTAGCTAAGAAAGTGCTGTTCACGAACTTTGAATTCAAAGGTGACTTAGCTACCGACACCCTTAGAAGAGGGATCTCACAGTTCCTGAAAAGGACATTCGATGCAGCATTGTTGAGAATAGTGTTTTCTTGTCTACCATTATTCTTCATACACTGACCCTACCGATTCATTTTGTGTATCCTTCATTTGTTATGTCGACTGTGCTATCATTTATTCCACTTTGAACAATTTCCGGTATTATCTCACTTGTCACCTTTAATTACATGATTCAATATGAAGTTTTGCAATGTTGTCTTATCATAATTATCACCTTGTTGAGTAATGTTTTAACTGCTTACTGATCTTATTATTTATGCACACCTTTGAAATAGATACAATTCACGAACTATTTTATAAAGTACTGTTTTTTATTCCTTCACGTTCCCAGTAGAAAACAGGGCTTCAAGCTAGAGGCTTGAAGTTTCTGTAGCAGTGTTTATTTTAACAGGATGGGGTTGCTAGGCCTCATGCCCAACCCTTTCCACTTTACCAGCTTTTATTTCTGGCTTAGCGTCAGCCGGGGATCGAACCCCGGACCGTGTGCATAGTTGACGAGAGTCTTAACCGCTATGCCACCAACGCTTATAAAGTACATATCCAATTACTATTATTTTATTTTGTCAGAATTCATTTTATTATTAAAAAATATAATACATAAGATTGTACAGCATGATGATAAATTCGATGGAAAAAGACTCTTCGCTGAATCACTTGTTTTGATTTTCTTTGTTTCAATGGGAATTTTCCACGAAACAAGTTTACATCAGATCGGTGCAGTTCTGTTTTAATTTTCTGCATAAGGCTTTATAAGAATATATGGCAAGCACAAATGTGGTGGGAATTAACGTAGCTTTAAAAGATTTGAACAAGAACAGATGAACTAATATATATATATATATATATATATATATATATATATATATATATCATATACTTTAGTCTTCTAAACATTTCTAATAAATTGCGAAAGCTGTTCATACAAAATAAATCAACGGTTCGATTTTTGAAAATATTATATCGATTTATTGGTGCCAAGTGATTACTGTCACAAAGTATCGGCAGATGTCTGTCTATATTCTTATATGTGAAGTATTTTTCATTGTAGTTGATAATGCATTCTTTGTTTTCATGGATTTTGACTAGATTTTCAAACACTAGCTAATTCCAAAACTCTATGAACTATTAGCATCAAGTAATCTTATTACAAAAATGCAGTGCAGTCCTACCAATTTGGCTGAAACTGAATGGAATCTTAGCGTATTGGACTTGTCTGATAATCAGCTGGTAACTACTGATAGCCAGTTGATGTCATATTCAAAAATCACTCGACTGTGTTTATCCTCGAATATTTTAAATCAGGTAACTTTCAGTATAAATTCATTTCAAATGTGTTAACCAATAGAGTTAACTTTTCTCATGAGCTATTTTTATATGTATGTGAAGCACACACTTGGTTCTCATTGTCTTCTAAATTGTCAGATCCGGCTATTAGCATAGTCTTTATCTCACATTTCAGCTAGTTAAAGAGAACCTAATCTGGAAATCCTTATTACTCTTCTTCTTCCTCTCATATGCTTTCGTTTATGTTTAGTTCCATTGCACATTAGTTTGCTTTACCTTTATTTGTAGTTATGTGGATTGCAGTAACTCTAATCTGCTACACATTTGTGGAATTACATACGCTGACAATTTAGTCCTTTGTTGAAACTTCACCTAGACAGATAAGCTGTTGGTTCATTCACCTGAATTATATTTCAGTTAGTCTTAGTATTTTCATGCATGTTGTTTAGCGATGAACAGTTCATTGTCTCCGGTATTAATTATTTTGTATAAGTATTGAAAGTTTAATTTGTGGATGGTGACTAGCAGTGGAATCCAGGATGCGCATTTCGTCCTACTTGGGACCCGTCAGCTGGATGTACCTGCATTCCCCAGTGAGTGATGATGTTCCCACCGAGGCTCAAACCCAGTGCCCTTAGTTTCAAACGCCAAAGCGTTATCCACTAGACCACTTGGGCCACGAGAGCCACCTCTTGTGCAACGGGTCATATTAATTATTTAATTGAATTTTAGATTTTCCCGTCGATTGATTGGACCGAGGTGCTCGGTCTCAGGTTGACATGTCGGCTTCTTGAGGTGGCTCTCGTGGCCCAAGTGGTCTAGTGGATAACGCTTTGGTGTTTGAAACTAAGGGCACTGGGTTTGAGCCTCGGTGGGAACATCATCACTCACTGGGGAATGCAGGTACATCCAGCTGACGGGTCCCAAGTAGGACGAAATGCGCATTCTGGATTCCACTGCTAGTCACCATTCACAAATTAAATTCTAATTAAATGCCCAGGCATCGTCGAAGCATCTGCTCAAGAAGCCGACCGAGCACCTCGGTCCAATCAATCGACGGGAAAATCTAAAATTCAATTGAAACTATTGAAAGTTATTCTTAATTAAAGATTTTAACCGTTTTATTCTGTATATTAAGAATTTTGATGAATGGATGATTAAAGTATTTGAATAATCAGGAACACTGAGTAATTTTAATTTTTTGAGAATTTCTTCGGAAAGTTTTTGGCTCATCAACAAAAACTCTGTGTTACTTAGATATGAGGAAGTTCCTAAAATTATATTCATTGAATAAACCCATTCAACAGATTATAAATTACAATATTTTAGCTAGCGTGATACGGTCCTGTCGCTGTTTAGTACGAATGGAAAATATCATGATTAGTAATGCAGAATTCATCAGCTCTTTTAATGCGGATATGTCAGTCAAGTCCTGCAACAAAAGTAGATGTTTTGTGAATTATTTCAGTGTGTAATCTACAAGAATTCTAATTTTATGACTCTTAGAGTTGTAAAGTTAAGTACAAATAATTGAATGGCTAATTTTGTCTCTTAAGTAACTTCAGAGAGTTAGAAAGCAAAGATGTGACACTACTGTAGTAAAGTTTGTGTTGCTTGAAGCTCAGACGACCACTCAGTTATTTCCCTAGTACCTTCCAATCTTCTCTTCCAATAGCAAATTTCCAGTCGAATCATTTACATTGAGAGATGAAACACTGAAACATGAAGTGTCTGTTGCTGTTCGCTCGTATCCTAGTCTATCTAATACTAAATTATATTGAAAATAGTTTATTTGCAGAATATGCCTTGTAAGTGGTTATTGCAACAAGTGACTTTTCAACCTTCTGTCTAGTAAATCAAAGGCATTTTAGCTTCGTGTTGTAAATTCGGTTGTAGCGATTTGTCTTCCAATGTATCTGGGACAATAATGTACTGGACTTCTATGTTACATCTGAAGTTTCGACACCTTAAATCACTTCTTCATTCAAAAGTAGTTATAATTCATAGATATTTCTCAAATTATGATTGATACAACTATACAGTATGGAGATTGTGAAGTTGGTAATGTTTAGGTCACATCTAAGATGAAAATACACTTCAGTTTTATTATGTCAAGCAAACAAATAAATTCTGTCTTATTCATAATTTCAAAAATTACCTCTGAATTTATTTTAATTCAGAGATTGTGTTTGTGGTATTACTCACTTCACATTTTAAGTATCAATTCACATATTCTGCCTAGCCGTTTTATTTTCACGTCAAAGCGTTACCGTACTATAAATGTGTCAATTGGATTTTGATATTTTGTGCATATTCGTAATAATTGTTTTATTGATAAAACATGTCTCCATTTCACTTATTAGCTGTGCCATTCTGCATTCCATGGAGATCTGTTACAGGAACTCATACTTGACAATAATAATCTAACGTCAATAGATTTATTGAGTGAATGTTGCCTGCCAAATCTGATTCACCTGAGCATAAATCATAACAGGTAATCACCTTCTTCAGGTGTTTATTATATGCTAAATTGACATATTACATGAGCAGGTATTTTGGACATGCTTTCTGTTTCTTTCTGAAGGCTAAAAGAACTAAAGAAGAATGACATACTAACTTGCTAACGTTTACACAGAGCTGATGGTATAAGCCATGCTGTTAATCCATTCAAACAAACAGGATTATAAGTGGACTGGAATTTGAACAACTTTGTTCTATGTATTTGAATGGCCTAGAAACATGTATTAATTTCGCCGTCAGCCCTTCTATAGGCACACCTTTAATGCATTCCTCAATCTATGAATAATACCGGCTTTTGTGATTGGTTTATAAGTCAGGATACAGGCACATGTTATAAGCTGATGCGTTATTCTAATTCTTTGATACTTCCTATTATTTATGTGACAGTTATGCCTTTATTATTGGTGAGTTTCTGAGTTTACCCTTAAAATCAACGAGCTGTTTACATTGTGAGTTTTGATGCTGACTGATTGATTGACAGCCTGACTAGTTGTTTGCACTGCCATTTCGGTGATAATACGAAATAAATACTGCGATCCATGATGCTGTTGTGGGATTCTCTGTACCATTTTGAGTTTCAAGTAATTGCAGAATCTACTTGTTAATTGATTCAGGAAACAATATGAGTAGTTCAAAAGAATATATTACACGCATGTTTTGATAATAAAAATCAGTCGCACTTGTGAGTTTATAAAGGCTTTTGATTCACCCCGAATTAAATTTATTAAATATTTCTTGGGAATTTAATCCTCCTAATTACTGCAGTAGTAGTTTCGCCTTTCATGATAAGGAAAACATATTCAGTGTTGCTGCAAATAAAAATATTGGGAACATTAGAAGGATTTTTTATGGAACAAATTACACTCACTGCTTCAAAGCCTGTTTCAAACTTATATTACCATCCGAACTCGCAGAAAATATTCACCTCCTGTTTTACTATAATAATAGTACTAACGGTTATTATTCTTAGTAGTACTTAGGTTCTGAGTGTGAGATAAAGTTTCAAAAGTACATCTCCATTTCGTCATGTTTTCTGCAGTCATCTTGGCCAGGCTGCACCGATTGCTCATAAGCTCTCATCTCCATCTCACACGATCTCCATATCACGGTCGGATCAACGCCCAACTCGTAGTTTCTTAATCGGATACTAATCGAGGGTCTAGCGCACTAGGTCACTCAGTGGTCTACTCAGTGCGTGTCATATCCATCTCCATTCTCTTCTGCGAACTGTTTGTCACTAGGTTCTCAGTTGGTTGGTTCCAAGTGTCGCTTGCTGCTTATCCTTTCTGGCCGTCTGATCTTCAGTATCGAGCGAAGAAAGCTGTTGATAAAAGTCTGAAACATTTGGTGACACGCATGCCAAGTCTCTGAAACATACAGAACCAGTGACTGATTTAAAATAGGTGTTGACATCCGAATCTCGTTCCTTATTCTGAGTGCAGTCGATTTCAGATTAGTGAAGGTCTGTCTTACTTTTCCGATCTTGACCTTGGCATCTTTATCCGTGCCTGCAGTTGAAACGTTGCTGGCCAAATAAGTGGAAGAAGTGACCTCGTTTAGATTTCTCCCGTTGATGGTGGTTAGTGCCTGCTGTTGTTGATCAGGTGTCCTCGTCACGCTTGTCTTCTCTATGTTCGCTTCTCCTATTTTTTTCCTAAGTTTCATTTCGGTTTCTTCCTCTTTCTAACTTTTGTTTCGATGTTGTCGACCAATCTTCCTAGCCTTTGGCCAGGCTTTGTTACTGGATCCTCCACTCGTTTGACCTAAATACGACTCACTATATGACGCACAGACATGTTTTTCATCAACAGAATACAACTTCTTGACTAGTTACGACTATCGTTAGATCCTATTGAAATTAACTCGCAATTTTAAATAAGATAGTACGATGGTGAAGATTAGAAGGACGGAAACTAATTCTTGTTAAATATACGAATAGGGTATTTATTGAAGTTACTTCACTACATTTAGTCTACTAATCATTTTGGTGAAATAAACTGACTTTTAAGTTTGAATTCAAGACGTCAATTTATTATAAACACTCCTGATATATTTCTCAAGAGTATTTCACTTACTTTTAAAACAAGATAAACTCAGTAAACTAGGCCTCTGAGTACGTTACTGTTAGGCGTCATTAACAGTCAATACGAGTGAGTGTTTTAAAACAGTGTTATAATTAACAGTTGTAGTCAAACTGTGATGCATAAACAAAGTGTTTGAAACGAGGGATGGTGTTGTATAAAAATCTGAAGAATTCAGGTACATCAAATTCCTGTAATGCATCTGTGTTAATCATGACGACTAGTCACACACAGATGCAATTACTTGACAATATCTTCTGGTTATATTCACATAGTCTGTTGATCTTTTTCATTACAGGATTACTGAGCTACCTTTACTTCCTTTTCCATTAATGAGAAAACTGTCAGTTATGCATAATCTGATATACGGTGAGTGCACAGAGTTAATTATTATGTTCATCATTTAGTCAAAATTTTGGTATAGTATTTTCAAGACTCACATTGTAATTATAGGATGATAACTTTCCCAACGTATTAAGTAATACAGTTTTATCATTATTATTATTATAAAAGCTACTCAAATAGTTTTTATTCCCTTGCAAATAAAATGATTCACAAGTGTGAAATTTGAAGTGTGCATTTTATCAACAATAATAACTAGTTTTAATCTACTCGGCATTCATGAAATTTACTACAATTTTGAGTGGGTTGGTGAAGTAACTTACAAAGCCATATGGTTTATCACTATGGCAACAACGTAGGTTTAGCAAGTTTTCAGCATCTTGGTTTTTCACTTAATTGTTTTTTGTTCTGTAAATTAAACATTTGTAGCCCGAAAAATGGCATATTACTCTACAATCCCTAATAACACATGGTGAGACACTTCAGCAGAGCCTGTGGTCAGAGTAGTTTCACAGTGAAACATGAAAGCGGAGATAAACCAAACTTTAGGAATACCATTGTGAGAAGTTAAAAATTTTTAAAAAAAACCTATGAAACTGATCCATAGTTTATGTGAAGTGAAGTACTAACATAGATATAGGAATAAAACTTGTGCACTGTGGTAGAGTGTAATTCCATTATGGGTAAATTTTGTTTTGATAAAGTCTCACGGTGTTAAACAGTAATGTTTACTGATGACGTTTCGAGCACAATTTATTGCTCATAATCATATCAAGGTAATCACACGACTTCCTAAATTCATTTATATAGTGTCTTAGGTACAAAATAGATACTGCACAGCAAAATTAACCTAGTAAAACCACAAAATAACTGAAAGACAAGAAGAATATTCCCAACGAAGTGGGATCGAAACACGTTTCCTACAGACGACAGTTCAAGGTCAAGTAGTCAGTACGTAACCATAACACATTACTGCCAACGGTCCACCATCACACAACGGCATTAAGCATATGGATTAAGCAAAGAGAAAAATAAGTTATAAAGTGAGAAGAAGATAGGCAAGTGATGGAATGACGATTCACAGATCAAGGGGAACAGTGGAATAATTACAAAATTGACTGAAATAATCAAATAAGTAAGAATATTTTAAATGGATTATTCAGGAGTGATTTTCGGATGAGTTATTCTGCTACACATTCTATCAATTATATTCTTCAGAAACATTTGTTAACATACACTACTCCCCAGAGGCTAATACAAAAGAGGTTGTCTTTCACAACAGATCTTTCTATTAATTGGTTACTTTTAAATTCGATTTCAAAAACATACCGTGAAACTCAACTTTATTTTTTTAATCAAGATGACGTGCTTTGAGGAAGAAATCAAAGAGCAATAGTCTGTACTTTCATGTTTTCAACCAACTCTGTCTGAAAATGTTGCACTAAATGCAGTACCTCGCTAAGACATATCAACCAACTTACTGATTGTACTGTGGAAACAGTTTGGCAGATTCATGGATCCCCAAATTATCTGTCACATTTTTTACTTCATTATACTTTTTAAAAATAATGCAGATATTACTGAATCTTTTTCAGTTGTAGAAAACACCATTTAAATACATATACAAGTCACGATATTATTTTCAAATTATTATTTTGTTGTTGCAGAAACTGAATATTTCCTAAGAAGTTTGCGGTGTATATCAAGCATGTGTGAGATAGATATTCGAAATAATCCTTGTACACTGAATGGGAACTTCGTGTAAGTTTTCCAAAGAATTTAGTACTGAATTTCATTTTACAGAAATACATTACAAAATCTCCCATCAGCCTTATTCTACTTGGTAGTTAAATCAGATTTTTATCCGTCGTAGTTCATTATCAGACGTTAGATTTTAATGTCTTATTAAGAGTCTTCTTGAAAATCCAATACATTTTTAGATTAGGTGTGTAAATAATTAACGTGTGTGTTTCACTTTCTTTGCTGCCTTCGTGGGATTACAGATAATTTGCTAACAGTGATGTAGAATGGGCACGCTTACTCATTCAAAGAAAAATGATTGAGTGGACTGAACATTAAAATTATCAGAATTTAGATTCAAAACTAAGTCGCTGTTACAAGGAAGTCAAAGTGAATGATACATAAGAGAATATGTCTACTACATATCGTTGTGTAACGAATGGTATCAAAACATTTTAATTGTGCAAGGCTTAATTGTGAAAATCTAAGCAGATAAAAGTGATAGTCTTGTAATCTGACTGTGATACAAACAGGGGAAGCACACAGGGATGCACAGTTAAGAACACCATGTGGTTCCCCGAGCAAATCTTTCACGAAAAAGTAGTATTTCCACATCTTTCTGTGTTACGTTTAGTAATTCATTCTGTTCCATCTGTTTTCTGCACTTGTAGAAAATCAGTTAAAACGAAATTCCCTAAATTGATAGCCTGTGAAAACGACCATTGTGAAAGCACAGGACTGGTCAATCAACAAGAGGTGAAGTTCACAACTATCAATGAAGGCATCTGTCAGTGTGTAAATTGTAATCATGTAAAAGTGTTATGCGAACAGTATTGTCAGGAATATCAGGCGTATTCGAAAGATTTAGATGCATTAATCAGGTAATCTGACCACTTTTCCTTGTTTCGAATATTTTGACTAATTTTCGAATAACAGATTATTGTAGGTCTTGATGTATTAAGTAAAATTTGGGCACTGTGGTAGAATATAATTCCATATTAGTTAAGTATCTGTGGTATAACTGGATGGTATTTCATGCATAATTTATTGCTCATATTCGTATCACAGTGTTCACATGATCTCTTAATTTGCCTTATGTAGTTTTACTCCCTGTTGTTTTTATTTCAATTCGGCACATATCTGGTATAGGCGTGGAGCCATTTCTATTGCATATACATGGTATTGATTCGATGAACAAAGATTCGGTGATTAACCTCTCATTCCACTTAATTATACTACCTTTTAATACCTTTAACTTATCTCATCATATCGTATGATTACATTCAGGTGAATGCGTTACTATCATCGAGTCTTTTTTCTAGATTATTTCAATTGGCAAGGTCAGTCTTCCTAGATCTGGCTAAATTCCCACGTTCTAATAATCAAACTCGTTCCAACCTAATTTTTTTCTATTTAAATGACCTCACAATCATTACATGGTATTTAGTAAATCATGTTATTCTGCCTCCTAATTAGGTCTTTCCGGTCCTTAAGCAGACAAATTATGTCTCTGAGTGAGATGTTTGATTTAAATGCCAACCTGATTCCAGCCTTCTCAATCATAAATAGGCAAAACAGTACTAGTGAATAATTATTGGGTAATATATTACAACTCAAGAAAAACAAACGTGGTAGTGTAAATGGTTAGAATATTTTAGATAGCACATTACTGTCGTATAAAAAAGGAGCATTCAAGGATCTACGCGGGAGTTTTAATAAAGCTGGAGTTACTCAGTAACAGAAATTTTCGACTCAAGGACAGACCAAATATGTTCGATGTACCTTCCTTGACTACACATCCACTTTTGACTCTGTACCCAAATGTCTTCTGCTAAATAAGCTTTCCCTGACACAAAATGAGGCCTGGGCTATTAACTGGTTGCATTCTTATTTCTCAAACAGATTGAGGCATGTCTTCTCCTGCCTTGCTTACTGAATCTGGATTCCCTAAAGGTGCTGTTCTCTCTCCCCTAGTTTATTCTTGACTTGTCTCTTTCGGAAGAAATCAACTTCGTTAAATACACAAATGATTTGACTATATCGCAGCCAGATCCGCCCCGATCTCACTGCTCCAGAATTAATAGCTTTTCGCTGGACATAAGCCAGTGGTCCATGTCTAATGGTCTCACCTTTTTTTATTCCTTCACGTTCCCAATGAGACATAGGGCTTCAAGCTAGAGGTTTGAAGTTCCTGTAGCAGTGTATATTTTTACAGGATGGGGTTGCTAGCCTCACGCCCAACCTTTCCTCTTTACCAGCTTTTATTTCTGGCTTAGCGGGGTAAATGTTAGACTGTTAACTTCACTATCAGGCACAAACGTGATCTACATGAACTGGTTTGTTCACAAGATGCTTTTAGCATACAGTGAACTAAATCAAGCATAAAATACCTTGGAGTAGTTCTATCATCTGGCCTTTGCTGGTTATCGCAAATCTTGTCGAATTATAAGAAAATGTTCCGTGTAACGTTCTATATTAAGAGGTTGAGACAATCAGGATTCACTAAACCTCCACTCTTGTATCTTACATGTTGTTCTTTACTGCTTCAGCCTAGTCTTTCCCTGGCTGCTCAATAAGGACTATTTCATATTGGGAAGGGTATTAAAGATGATCTGTAAGGCAAGTAGTGTGCCACTAAATCAGCTGGATACAACTGTAGTCAACAGACACTTGAACTCATGTGAGAAACGGTCTAAGTTCATATTATCTGACTCTCATCACCCTCTCTAATCACAACTCTCCCCTTGCTCTTCATCAGGTAAGAAAAGAAGTACTTATAAAAGATTGTATGCCCAAGCAACCAAGTACAAAACTCAACGATACTCTATTTGTCCCGCCTTCTATGTGATAAAGATAATGTGGAGCGTGAAACTTACAGATTACTATATGATTAGCGGAATAATTGTAATGTAATTTACTGAGCAATACATTTCGTATCGCGTCCCAGCTGTTCAGCCAATGTTGAAACTCACACCTTACTGTACGCTGCCTTTATAAACTGAATAAATTCTTCGTAAAGTGAAATTTACACTACCAAGACTCATATTGTACTTTTTACAGTCATAGGTTATTAATTGCCTCTCACTGTTAAGATTTAGCGCAATTAGGAACATTTAACTTCTTTAAGAAGATTGCATTATTGGCGTTGAAATTATTTTCAGGGTGTAGGAAAGAGATAATTTCCATGTTCTCCATAAACGTTTTATGAAATAAACTACTGTACAAACATATTAATAGTGCCATGCATTAAAATATGTCTGAGGAAACTGACGAATACCCTACTGTTATCTTAATTATATTTCTGAATAATACACTGATTATTTTTAATGCTCAAGTATTGGTTTTGTAGGGATTTTGTTTGATTGGATGGAGGATTTCATTATGAGCTGACATCAGTTGGGGAACAACTGGAAAACCTGGGAGTACTGAACAGCCGTTTCGTCCCAGCTTGCGACTCTTCAGCAATACGCACCCACCGGAGTTCAAACCCAGGACCTTCTGGTTACAAGGCTAGCTCGTAGACCATTGAACCACTGGGTCCAGATCCATTGGCCAATGAATTCTAACTTCTACCAATTCACGACATAGTGCGATTGATGATTACTGCCTCATCATCACCTGCAGTACCTACGGTCACAGCTTCCCACTAGAACCCCAGGTTAACTGCCTGAATAGGGCCAGTGCAGTAGCATCAGATTAATTTTAATTTTGGTTTTGTAGTGATTTTGTTTGATGGATGAGGATTTCATCATAAGCTGATATCAGTTAGTTATTTTTAATGCCACTTATTGCAAATCCCTCTGGATATTTTCTTTTACCGATCACTTTTAATATTTTTTAACTTTCTTTCTGAAAGGTGTTTACATGGTACATTTATGAACTGTAGAATAAATGGTTTCAATGAGACAAATTCAGTTGGCTGTGTATCATGTCACTTGAGCTGTAAAACCAGTCAGAAAGAATCATGCGATCAGCTTCTACATTTAAACAAAGAGAATATCTTGTTAAATATCTGTGAAGATGGGAACAAATTGTCTCTTGTCAGTAGATACAGGGACCTCGTAGAGGAAGCAAATTCAACAAATAATAAAAACGCTTTGTTACTCGGAAGACTGTTCAATAGAGGAAATAAAGACTTACTCAATGACAAGATGAATAGCGTTTTCCAGTTCAGCTGTCACACGTTATAACTTCTTGAGAACTTTGAATGCCAAACTGACTATATTTGCTAATAAATGAAAGTTGCTTTGAACTTCGATTTATGTTTTACTTCCACCTCTTTTAAAAGAAATACAGAACTAGGTACACCCGAGATCTTCTCTTGTTGGTTTTTGAGCAGTATGCAAGCTGAAGGAAGTGTCGAAGTCCATAGATTAGTGTATGCTAAACTTCGTTTTGCTGCCTCACTTTCAGGTCAGTTAGTTCCACAATGTAAGACTATTTCGCTCAGTGGTGTTTACTAAAAAATTAATCTGCAAATATGAGACAAATACTTACCAAAAATTCCAACCTATTTCAGGATTTTCATCATGAGCTGACATTAGTTAGAGAACCATTGGAAAACCTGGGAGTACTGGACAGCTGTTTCGTCCTAGTTTGGGACTCTCAGGCTTTCCAATGGTTCTCTAACTAATGTCAGCTCATGATGAAAATCCTGAAACCAATCAAATCCCTACAAACCAACACTTGAATTCCAACCTATATTAATTAGTATTTTAGGCAAAGTTGTAATCTATAGTCTAGTGTTGGTAACAGCGACCTGTGCCTCACATAACGATATAGAACACTGGTTGGTGTAACACTAATTAAAATAAACAAATCACTTGTAGTAGAAACGTATTACTATTCAGTTCAAAAACTTAATTTTATTTGAAAGTTTACAATCTGCAACTATGTAAGCCGGGTTCAGTGTGCTCTTAACAACTGTAAAGTATCTAACAGTATCAATTCTTTGTAAATTCATGCAGGCTAAAATGAAAGAGGCAGTATTAACACGCTTCGCTAGACGGCAAAGCCTTTTACTTCGAAACTGAGTATAATAGTTTCAAATGATGAAGGAAATGTGACTTTTTGAAAATGATGTGGCTGCTTTCTGCTGACCAGTTGCAGTGACCGCTTAGTCTTAATTCTGGCCTTTTTTGATTAATAATGGAGAAAATTTTCACTTGTAAAAGTGTTAGTAGAAGAGAAAATAGCACTCACTACATTGGCCGTTGAATCTTAGTCAGAACACTTAGTCTGAGAGTTTTATGGTAGGCTGATACATTTTCGTTCATTATTCAGCTCTCTGTTCTACTTTAACATTTTAAAGGAGGGAAGAAATAGTCGTTTTCGTTAAGATGACTCAGAAATTACAATTTCTAACTTCTTTTCGAAATCGCCCATATTTTATGTTTGCTTCAGTTGTCTAATGTCTTATTTTGAATATCGTAATCAGTTTTCGATATTATACTTGATGTGATATTATTTTTTCACCGACTTTTACGTATGCTAAGTGAAACATGAAAAGGTCTCGACAAGCAAACTGAAAATCGCGACGAACCTGAGATATACGGAAGCGTTAACTAAATGTGTACAGTTTGCATTTACTGTCATGACGCTTGTAAAGCTACTCAAAAGTTGGAAACACTGGATACGTAATTTTAAAACAATTTCACTCAATACTCTACAGTCTGCAAAAAGACGAAATCGAGGTCAAGACTACCGTTTGTTACAACATGTTTATTGTAATTGCATAACGTTGCCAGTACAGTTACATCTTTACTTTACTTAGTGTGAGTCAACATTGGTGAACCATCACTTTTGTTGTTATTATTTTCACAAACCTGCTAAACTGCATACAAAGATTAAATTAATCAGTCATAACTTTCATCTTCTTGTTTTAGTAAATAGATTTGAAGTTTTGTGTTACCTATAATTGAAACTATCTGTCAATACACTGGTTGATCGTATTCGGGAATGAGACATTTTTTGTGAAGTTGAGTGTTTCAAAATATGGTTTTTAACAAACTAGGTGACAAATTAGTTATTATTACAGAAAGAATATGATGTGACTAGCAGTACAACGTAGTATACTGTGAGCGATACGAACCTATTGGGTTAGGCTAACTCTTAGAAGCGCTAATCACAACGTCAAGCACCAAAGGAACAAGATGGTCAGTGCATGAAAACAAGAAGAAAAAACGTACTGTTGACCAAGAGCCCTCATTGTTAAAAACAAAACAGTTAGAGTATATATATGTATATATATATATATGCTAGTTGTCCTGGACAAACACTGATAACAGGGATTTGGAGTTATTTCTAAGTTAGGGGTTACTATCAGGTGAAAGTCATTCAGAATAAGGCAGTATAATGCAGAACAGTTGTTTTCGCATCAAAACGATTTGATAGTGGCGAAAACGTTAGTAAATTCATTGATTTTCCATCTATATCATCTCCCAAGTCATAAAGTTACACTGAAATGCGGAAAGACGTGTTTATAATTACTGAATATAGTAAATATCCCAATTCGAAAATTTGAAAGTAACATATTCAGCGAAGAAATATTTACTTTTCAATTAGATCTTCGGAATCACTATATTAATAAATATACCATTTTTCATGCATTTCATAATTGACCAGTCTGTTGGTAACAAAACCAATGATAATCATTTGTCAATAGAAACACGTCAGACTGGTGATAACAAGACAAGAAAATCAGAGCGACGATTATAGGCAGGCGACTCCAAATTATTCGTCCTTAATCCCTGAAGTCTATATTGGTTGACCTATAAAGAGACAGCACAAATCCCGTTATTGCATGTCTTAAACGTTTTGTTAAAATCTTGCCTATATTATACCTAGGAAACTACAATTTTAAGAAAACCAGCTCTCTTGGAACTGCTGATCAACTAACTCTCTGAGGCAGTGAATTCATACTGTTGTCAAGATACTTGTCTGGAAATCTGTTCTTCGGGTTTCCTTCTGGGAAACTACTAGGATTGAGCGAACTATTTTCTTATACATACTAATCGAAAGTGAAGATGATCAAGGTGATACGCTTGATTATGTTGTGAGATAATTTTTAATAAATTTCTTAGATTCAGGGAAAGTAAGAAGCAAAAGAGACACTATTTATACACGGCGTCATGATGTAGTTTTGCAATGTGTAGCTTGCTGTGTTTGTGTACATTAATGATTGATTCCCTGTTAGACAGTTTTCCACAGATTCATTTTTATTTAAAAGAACATTTTTCACAATGAGTGAAATGTCGAATTGTCTTATGCAATGTAAAGTTAAACATAGCTAACTGCTATTGAAATGTGTAAATATTCACGTGTCGAAGGATAAGTAGTCATTCGTGAAATCAGAGGAATATTACAAAGACACTTGCACTACTGAATCATATTTAAATACTTTTAATTCCTAATTGATAACTATTATCATTAAGCAAAACCTTTCAAAATTTCAGACCTTATTAGTGCAATATAATTCCGTTTCCGTATTCGAATTCATTCACATCATGGCTTTGTGAATTCCCAATCCACAATTTTCGTCAATATGCAGAAGTGAAACTCTGAAATCATGCAAAGTCTAAATGGGAATTCTTTCAAGTTTCTTTGATGTGAAAAATGTGTAACGTCAGAAAGCCTTAGGCTTGCAGTGAACAGTATTTGCACTACAAATGAAAACGTTAAACCTATATGAGATTTGGTAAAATTACAGTATTTCCTGACAAAATTTCCATAGTGATCCCATTGTTCTGTGTTTTACACTTCATAATCTGTGAAAAAATATGTTAAAGATCAAGTTGGAACCATTTGTTGAAGTCTGTTAGTTGGAAGAATAGTCGTGAATCATAATGTTCCGCGAAAAGTAGAAATACTAAAAACGTTGAATCATTGATAAAAGTATTTTGTTCAAGTCGCTGAGATGATGACTCGAAATGAAACTTATATCAATTTTGAAACCACCGAGTTCGTGATTGGTAGTTAGGTTCAAGTCACATAAAGACGTCTAATTTTGGGCTGGACAGCAATTTAGAATTTCAGCTGGGAGGTAATGTTCCAGATATGAGTGTCCTCATCTGTATCTCATGAAAAATTCAGAATGCCATCCGAGCGATGCACAAAACTGTCTACTTTTGGACATAAAAATACTCATAGTGTAGCACAGAGAGATTGCGCCTACCTCGTTTATTTTTGATTACCTAAACTTCTAATAGCTTTTAGGCTAGGGAATTCTGATACATATCGAAAAGTGGCATACGGTGCACTTTTAGTTCCTTAAACTTAAAAAAGGCAGCCAAGAAAACACCACCACATTTATGTTCCAATTTAATGGCAAAGCAAAGGCTCTATGCAGATAATACCATCGCTGAGAATGAATATTGGATTTATCTTTTTTTTTGATTTACAGCTTGATTCCACACCGTATTTTCAGTAGAAGTATGGAATTTTCAGCATGGATATCGGTAGCCCAAATTCAGGCCGACCATAGATATCGGGTGTGCGCCGGCAGGGGATCGAACCTCGGACCATGTGCATGGTCGGCGGGAGTCCTAACCACTGTGCCACCGACGCACATTTATCATTCTCTCCATGCAAATTAACATGACCTGAGAATCATTAGGCAACCAAGAATACACATTTTCGAATTAACAATTAACTTCAAAAGCAATAAGACAAGTGAATGGGCGTTGGGGGTTTGAGACTGTGACCAGTGAATTTTTTACTGAAAAATTGATCAACTTGAAACATAAATTAAAAATGTCAACTGGTAAATCACCTTTTTAAATGCGAATATTCAGCCTATGGATTAAAAACACACCCTTTCCTAAAACAAAAAAATATCTTGCAGATTATCAAAGCAAATATCAGATCATCATCCCTAATATCAACTTTTATTTGGTCGAATTGTACCCTGTCACAGATAGTGGTTGGTGTTTAAAACAAGTTGTCTCTGTGGTTTAAGTCACAGGTTATCCCTTAAACCTTAATGCTTGATACTTTGCTACTGTTGCATAGTGTGGTGACAGTATTTTATTAAGGCTTTCAAGTAAAGTTTTAACGGGCAAGTGTAACCAATTTCCAACTTGATTTGTTACATGTTACCGAGTTTAAAAGGTACACAGGTGTAAGTGTTACCAAATCAAAATTTCAAAAAAAATACAATCAGCAATGGATACTTATTATCCAAGCATGAACATTATGTCGTCTAAAAGTACCAAGAATACAGTTCCCAACACTGATATATTTATCATCTGTCGGACAAAAATTTCCCTCAGTAATCTTTCTTATTAAGCATTTGAAGTAAGAGTTTAAATGCAAAGCATGTGTGTCCACATATATGCGCCAAAAGATTATATAACCAACTAATTTATACATTCGTTCATCATAATCCGTTCTTAAAACTTTTGATGGCCTGTTGTTTGTGAACACTTCCAATAACTGTTCAGAGCTAATTTGTTGTAAATATATACACTGAAAAATATCGTTTATTTTCACATGAGGAAATGGAAGCCTATGGGCATCTTCAACACTTGTTTATACACCATTGTGAGGGGTATATCACATAATTTACTACCTATTCAATAGCAAGCAGTCCACAGAATTGCTTGGAATCCGATGATTATCCTCATGCATTTATCTTCAGCGAAAATCTGCGACTTTGAGAATTATTTTGGGGAATTCTACTTCAAACGGTTTGGAAGTGGCATACAAACTGGCGAACTAACTAATAGACAGTCTTTTTCAGTCGAGGCATTTCTTACAACTCCAATAGACGATCTGTAATATAACTCTGAGTTCATGGATATCAGACAACAGCAATCCAGGTGGATAAGGACTGAATTGCCATAATCAGATGAGTAATACAGGAGACACTTGACTAATTGAAACGTATACACTAGCGGTATTAACACAATAGTGTGGAGCAAGCTGAGAACTATAATACTCAATTAAGCCATGTGAAGAAACACGTTTCATCAAATATTTCTTCCCGGATTCAAAATTATTATCCACGAAAAAGTGATAACACAACAAATATAATTGATATTCAATAAGTTTTACAATCTCTAATATTTTACGAACAATTAATTCCATGATAACAAAACCAAGTTTAGCAGTGGTACAATGTCACTGATATAATTTAAGCTGAAGTAATATTTGCCACAGTAGAAATACTGCACTGTCGTTTACTGTATCCAAAATAGCCACAAACTTTGATTTTAATCACGCAAAATTAGTAAACCCCATTTTGTTTTCCATAATCACAAACTTATAGGTAAATACATTTACTCTTCTATCTCTTTTAATGGTAAATTTACTGGGATAATTATTAGCAGTTTACGCTTGTATTATTCACTTCCCTCTGTTTATCGAAGAATATTTCTGAAAGTTGCGCATGTGCATTTATTGATTGAAATTTTCACGTTTATTAATAGCTACTTTCATCTGTATAGGAAAATTTAGTATATTATAATACTTACATTTAATTAAAAAGATGCTCTTGTCTGCCTGTCACTAACAACTGTACGGCAGAAGAACTTACAGTCAGATTCTGTTTAAACAAATATCCTGCAAGCTGGAATGGATGAAGTTGTTGAATTCTGTGGTGCTTGCCATTTATTTGAAATCCAATTTGCATATATACTGTCTTTCTGCATAAAGACCATAGTTTCTACTGACTATCCGAACAACAATTACCTAACACTCTTTATCATATCTGTGACTGATATCAAATCAAAATTGATGAATGTTCATTCGTTACAGTAAGATTAAGGGTAAGACAACATTTTCTGGATTCACTGAACACGACATGATAGAAGCTTTCAAAACATCACACTTACAACAAAATTACGACCCTGATACTTGATAAAGTTAGATTTGATATAAATGAATAGGAGTATTGCCCAGACACATGAAGATATCAATTGGTAGAAGTTAAATTCATGGGCCATTGATTCAGGTCCAAGCAGCCGAATGGTGTACGACCTGGCCTTGTAGTCGGAAGATCCTGGGTTCAGACACCGGTGGGTGCGTACATGCTAGGACGGAACACCTATCAAGTACTCCCTGTTGGTTTTTAGTGGTTCCTTAACTGATATCATACCGTGCTCAAACTTGAAACACATAAAATCTGTTTATTACTATTTAAAATAGGCGTATAATCTGTAAGAATATTATTTGAATTCCTCATAGGCTGAGTGCAGGCAAACGGTGTCAGCATATTTGTTTTCATGATAGTCGAGCAAATAAACTGAAAGTATTATACTTTGTATTCAGAAGAACTGGTCAAAAGACATCAGGACATTTATAGTGCATAGACATAGTATCTCCTCCTTTCTCAACTGTTTATACATATTTCTGTAGTAGAAAACATTTCAAGAAGATATTGGCTTAACTCGCTTGTTTTTTGTGCTGTGGAGATACAGTTTTATGTCCTATGGGATTTATTGCTGCTAATACAATCAACTCCCGTATTCAGAAACTCCTTTAATCGCTTGTGACTCACGTGGTTTCTCCTGTACAGAAACAGCCGCTAGACGACAACTTGGGAATAAACTTACCCTTATTATTGTAAACAGAAACATATATATAAGGTTCTATCAAAAGTATTATTGCTAAACTGTAAAGCCTGTGATAAAAGTGGATGCAGTGTAGAATAATTTAGACAAAAACTTGTCTATTTTATATATCATGGTAGAAGAAATGAAGGAGATTCAATTTGACACCTTTCACTGAACTTTTCCGCCCACATATCATCATCATCATCATCCTGCCACTAAATACAGAATAAGTTATTAGGTTTGTGTAGAGTTTTCCAATTTGAGGAGTGATTTATTCACCAACTAAAAGAGCTATTGAATTCCAAGAGCTCTTGAACGGCAGGTTTTTCTATGTGGAATATCATCGGGAATACGAAAACACACATTCGGGGAAAATGGAATTAAAGGCCGTCAATATGACAGTCGAGTGAGCTGGCATTCAACCAACTGACTAAAGTTCAACTCTAAATTCTACCGCTATGTGATGAACAGGAACCGATGTCGAATCTGATAAGGACGCAAACAGAAGACTTTGCAGTGTATCTTTAGGAAAACTGATAATTGATAGGTTGTTAAAATATTTATTAGAACCACGTATATTGAAAATTCAACTCTTTGATTGAAAACATGACAAAATATATTTAGAGTTGACATTGTTTTACGCCGTGAGACCTTTCGTTCCCTGATAGTCATCGCTGTAACATCCATCGATATTGCATAAACTTCGTTTCTCTTTAGGTGGCAGGTTTAATGCAGTACTTGATGGCGACGGGATTTGTACACAAGGATTCGCATAACAGAAAAACTCAGATAGTGCTTCCATGCTCAGAAATTTGGAGATATCCAATAACTTCTCTAACCGTGAACAGATATCTTGATTGGCTTGAGGGGAACAAATTATTGACTTGGCTAAATCTTTGTCAACAAACGTGAAACCATTCCATTTGAAGTTGAGGTGTTGTCTTTCAGACAGAGGCTGAAAAAAATTGAGTGAAATACAGTTCACTGAAATATCAGATTTTATAACAAATTTATTGTGTTTAACACTAATACATCCCTTGCTTACTAACTCTGAGGTGGTTACTGTTAGGTGCGTCGGTGGCACAGTGGTTAGGACTCTCGCCGACCATGCACATGGTCCGGGGTTCGATCCCCTGCCGGCGCACACCCGATATCTATGGTCAGCCTGAATTTGGGCTACCGATATCCATGCTGAAAATTCCATACTTGTACTGAAAATACGGTGTGGAATCAAGCTGTAAATCAAAAAAAAATAATGTAGAGCAAAAGTGTTTTGAGTTTCAAGCAGAAGATATATGCTTTGGCACTTTGTGATATCTGCACTCAATAACAGCAAGTTCTCAAACTGGTTACCGGAAAACAAAGTCAAAATTCACAACAGACTGACATTGTTCATTTCTAAATTTCAACACACTTTGTTTGACTTGGTAAGTGTAGAATGCATTCACTTTCAATTTCATCCTCTTTTTTAATCAAAACTGACAGTGACTACTGACGATAAAATGTGCAAGAGATCTTCAAAGCTTTTCAAGTGTATTCCAGTCAACACTTCATTTTCGTATATTTGAACAGGAAGAAACTCAGGGTATTATTGAAAGTTTGTCGAATTATTGTGTCAAACGACATTTGTTGGCTTGATTTTAAGATAGCAGCATTCACTATTTTTCGGAATGATTAATTAGCCCAACTTAAAATATTTGTAAACAACTCATTTGAGCGTTAAGCATACGAGTTATTTGCAAGCTGTTCTGGTTTGTTTATCTTCTTTCCGCATATCACCATTTTATGTTTGTTGGTGTGCAAAACATTCTGTTTAACATTTCAGATATTTCGTTTATCATGCTTCAAGGTTAATTGCACTCACTGTCATATCGTCACGAGTTTTACATCAGCTAAATGAGGTCGTAAACTTAAACTTACGGAATTTTAATCAGTTTGAAAAGAAGACACGGGTAAGACAAGGCTACTTGCTATCACCAATGAGCTTCTTCATTGTGGTGGACTGGGTCATGCGAACGAACGTCCGGGGCGAGAAGACAGGCATACGCTGAAGCGACAAAAAGAATGTAGAAGATTTGCACTTCACAGATGATTTATGTCACATTTTTCACAAACTCGAAGATTTACAAGCAGAAACCAACAAGTTGGTGGAAGGGGCAGCGAACACAGGACTTCAGATGAACACAGAGAAGACAGATATGACGAAGACACAAAACCAACAACATCGAGGACCAGTGAGTACCATGGGAGAATTTTAGAGGGAGTCGCCTCTTTCGCTTATTTGAATAGGTGATATAGTTTCAACTAAAGAAGGCACAAATGAGGATATCGAAGCCAGGCAAGATCAGATTAGGAAAGCAAGACTAATCTTCACTACCCTCAAATCAGTGTGTGGATCCACAGCACTTAGCACAAGGAACAAGATCCGAGTTTCGAACGCTAATGGCAAGTCAGTGCTTGTCCATATTTCAGAGACTTGGTGCTCGCGTCACGAAAAACATTTCCAACAAGCTGAAGACTCTCATTGACAGCTGCTTTTTATGACTCTATACCGAAAAAGACAAGCAAGAATTAACTCTGACAGCGAACCGACCAAGTACCTAATGCCCAATAAATAGAGGTAGGTTGATCCTAAACCACAGATACCACTGAGTAACATCACACGCTATACCCTCTATCAAACGACGAATTTGGCTTCCGATTGCAACACAGTGGAGATGATCTGAGGAGGAACTGAAAGCTTATGGAAAATCATGGATCCACTCTGAAAGGAGAACAAGGAACACAGTGAGATGAAGATGTACTGCTGAGGCCGTATATTCTACACGGAATCCAAGGGGTGATTAATAATATTATTATAGTGGTTTGATAATACAAGCTTGTTGTGCGTCACTCTGTTGCACCAGTATTATCCCAAAGACATTCAAGTTTCTGATTATCTGTATTAGTGTGTAGATGATTTAGCATTCCTTTCGTAAAAAGTAAAGGATTACACTTGCATACGGCTGATTCCCACTAATAATTTTCAATAACATAAGAAGTTCAAACCCGATAAAACGACTACAATTACACTTAATACATTTATGTGGAGGAATGGTTTGAATTTAGTGAGATTACCTCCCCAAATTAACTTTTCGGAGATACACATGATGTAAGTTCACCAATTATTCAAACCATGTTAAACTCTCTGGAATTTCGTTAATGCGATAGATAGCTGAATACCATTAACCTGTTCGCAGATGCAGTAGTTGACAATAAATCATTATTGAGTAAGCAAGTGCAAAGTCCAAGTGGAATGATCACCACAAACAAGAGTTACTGAATTGTTCAACAAAAGCCTGAAATTCTTTTGTACTAGATGCTAAAAACTGATAACGACACTTTGCTGGCAGGTAGGTAGACATATTAATTAGTCGAGTTGAAATATATCACTTTTTGTCTGTAGTAAATCAGCAATAGAAATGAAGAGAAATGTAAAACCCAAAGGCGATTTGCTGAAAAATCTCCTACTGAGGGGTTGAAACGCTAATAAGTATAACTTTATTGAAAGATTTGTTGTACAAAGGCTTAGATCCAGACAAATTTTATTTCCACTCAGACATCTAGTCAATTTGACTCATGTTGTTTTATAACTTGGGGTTCAGATATACCTTCTATACAGATAAATCGTTTTTTCCCTTTTCGGAAGAAATGTGAGTTACCAGTTGTTAGTATTTAGGTGATCGTTTCATTCCTGACCTATTGGTTATGGTAGTTGAATGATTCGACAGATTTTCACTCTTATTATGTTCAATATTTTCCATAAAACATAATACTTCAGGCAAATAATATAGTATATTAGATCATCCTTTTTACAAACACTCTTGAGCAGCTGTAACTTCAAATTTTATCTTGCATATTAACCGTAAAAGACCAGGTCAATAGCCTTTTCGGGGATTAAATATAATATTTATGCATTGATTAGACAGTGAATTAACTAAATCCAGATCATTTGGTAATTTAGTTCAATTTTAGGTGCACTTATTAGTCAGACGAAGTGGATATCTAAAGTGAATTGTATAGATTCTATAGATTACATCGAATAGCAAAGAATCAATTACCATCCAAGCGTTTTATTGTTTTTTGGTGTTCACACAGTTAAAATTTAGCGTGGTTTAATAGAGAGATAAATGTATTCTAGTGAAGAAGGTCAAAGTGTTGTCTTGAGTGTAAGTGAAAACATAATGATTTATTCAAAAGCATCTGGTGACACTCAATAATAAAATGCGAGGGCAATTTAAGCACCGCGGTACCGTATAGTGCCATAATAGCTGCATCTCCTTGTTACAATTCAGTGATTACTATATTATTATTATTATTTGGATGACGTTCATAGCACGATTTATATCGGGGTGGTGACAGATATGTTTATGAACAATAAGTGGTGCTTGAAAGCTCGTCTCTTCAATAGTACTTTGTCACTGTATCATATCAAGTCAAATTATCTAGGGTGAACAGCTATTAATTACCTAATTACTTTTGTTGGCACTATCACCATCATAAAGGTCTATATTTTATATCTAAAATGTATTTTAGATGATGTGAAAAATAAATCAAAATATTTCGTTAAGTTGACAAAGCTAACAGTTCCTAGGCAAATGGATTCCGAGCCAGTATCTGAACAGTAAAGTTATCTCCTATAATCCCAGAGGTTCATGGTTAGATCACTCGTTCAATCTTCAATGAATTTTAAAGTTCTAAAGTAAGACGGATCACCTTTGTGGTGAGCTCCAGTATTTATTTGTTCTGTGATCATTTTGTGTTCGTAATGAAATCTATTTCGTGAAATGAAATATTGAACATTTTAAAAAATTCTGAAAAACTGACTATGACGAATAAAAGAATTTCCAGGGTGATTTTGACAAAATCTGGCTTCCGACATTTGATGATACCTCATTTCACGTAGACTTTGCTGTGTATTAGTGGACTATGTAATGAAACGTAAAGCTGATCTGAGTTCGGTAAACAGGTACTTAAAATATCATGTGAAGGCGCAATTTTCAATAACTAAAATATGATAAACAGTTAGTAAATTAAAACCAGAGGATGCCATTCCTAACACAGAAGTAGCATTAAGTTCAATAGATAAGACAACAGCAGAAGAGGTTCGAGCACAATGTGCATTAACCCTGAAAAATCAAAAGAAAGCAAAATCAAACTTAACAAAATCGGAAAAACTAGCCCTAACTAGTCTAAAACAGGATAAAAACATTGTCATCACAAAAGCTGATAAAAGAAACTCTGCAGTAGTTTTGGATAAATCTGACTATATCAAGAAAGTCATTGAACATATTGAGACGGGTCCATATGAGGAAATTAAGAAGCCTTTAGATACAGTAATGAATGACATTAAAACGTTGAATGGAGCCGTCACCGAGTGAATCTAAATGGTTTAATTTAATGCCTAAAACTAATAATGCTAGTAGAATATATGGTAATTTAAAAATACACAAGCCCCATACGACCAATAGTAGATTTCAGGAATACCCCTACCTATGAATTATCAAAACACTTAGCTCTAATATTATGTCTCGTCAGAAATCGTTCAAACTCTAGACTAACTAATTCATATGAAATGAAAAGGAAACTAAATGACATTCAACTAAAGAATAATGAAAAAGTGGTTAGGTTTACTAATATGCAAATCAATATGGTCCTAGAAGCGGTTAAAAGAGAACTAACTTCTGATCCCGAACTTCGTCATAGGACAAAGCTGCCCATTGAGAAAATTATTCTAGGAATTCAGTTATGCCTCACATCTACTGTCTTTAAATTCCACGGCAAAATATATACACAAACAGAAGGTGTAGCAATGGGATCACCAATATACCCTATCGTAGCACATATCTTTGTGGACAGCTGGGAAAATATTACTCTTAATACATTTAATCCTACTCCAAAAATATGGTGGAGATATGTGGATGACACTTTCACAGTGTTCAAAACAGAACATATCTCTAGCTTCTTGACACACACACACACACACACATAAACTTACTAGTAAATGGAATCAAATTCACATTTGAATCGGAAAATGAACAAGGAGAATTAGCCATGTTAGATTGCAGAATAAAACGAACAAAAGAAGGTAAACTGCACACTAGCGTTTATAATAAACCAACACATTCTTATAGATATTCAGACTTTAATTCATCTCATCCGTTATCTGTAAATGCAGACTTAGTTAAGTGTCTAACAAACCAAGTAGTAGTGTGGTGAGACATGGTTGCTAGCCAAATTGGTTGACAGTAATTGAGGTCAATGTTAGTCATGTGAAAACAAGGTCAAGATGGACAGGCGGATACAGTTAACATATAGGTGAACTGACACAGCCACAAGAGATGCAAGGTGAACTTTGCGTGAGAAACAACCAATCAACAGACTGTATTTTCTACTAACATTAACCTACAATAATGTACATCAAAATCTATAAATATATGTTGATTTTCCATAATAAAAGCTTTCAGAGAATCAGGGGCTGCAGATAGACCACAAGCCAAGTTCAACACTCAAAAACTGAAGGATCAGGACACAAAGGATATCTTCACTGCAAGTATAAAAGACAAAGCCGAGACACTAATCAACACTGGCGAAGAGGTCAGCGTCGAAAAGCACTGGAACAACTTGAAGACAGTGTGGAGTCAAACCTGCATGGAAGTTCTAGGCAGAAAGAAAAGACAGGACAAACAATGGCTCACTACGGACACTTGGAAACTAATAGAAGAGAGAGGGATGGTGAAACAAAAGATTCTCCAGTGCACCGATGAGCAACAAAAACAGGATTTGAACGCAAGCTACAAGACACTGAACAAAAGAGTAAAGAAGAGTGCCAGAGAAGACAAAAGAAAGTACTATGAAACCATGGCAAGTGAGGCAGAGCAAGCTGTAGGCAAAGGAGACCTCGCAACACTCTACAAAACTACTAGGCACCTATCGAGCAAACGTTTGACACAAATCAAGCCGGTGAAGGATGACAATGGAAAGTCACTCAACAAAGAAGTGGAGCAAAGGAAACACTGGGCTGAACACTTCAAAAGACTCCTAAATCGACCTTAATCGACCACCACCTACAACGCGTCCAGCAATACCAACAACGGAGACAGAGCTGGCAGTGAACACCAACCCCCCGACGAAATCAGAAGTCCTGAAGGCAATCAAGATGCTAAAAGCTAGAAAAGCAGCAGTACCAGATGGAATCCCAGCAGAAGCATTGAAAACGGACCCAGAGACAACAGCGGACTTGATGACGCCACTACTGGAGAAGGTGTGGAAAGAAGGCCAAGTACCCGAGGATTGGAAGAAAGGATACTTATTCCAACTACCAAAGAAAAGAGACTTAAGTCAAAGAAAGAACTGGCGCGGAATTATGCTCCTGTCCATCCCAAGCAAAATACTAAGCCGCATCATCCTGGAGAGAATCAAACATGCCCTGGAGGAAAAACTTCGACCGGAACAGGCTGGATTCAGGAGAAACAAGTCATGCATTGATCAGATCGCCACATTACGGATCATCATTGAACAAAGCCTGGAATGGCAGTCACCTCTCTATCTCAACTTCATCGACTTTGAAAAGGCCTTTGACAGCGTCGATCGAGAGGTGCTTTGGAAACTACTTCGCTACTACGGGGTGCCACTGACAATTATACATCTCATCCAACAGCTGTACGACAATGCTGCATGCCAAGTAATCCACAATGGGAAACTTACGGAACCCTTCGAAGTGAGGACAGGAGTAAGACAAGGCTGCCTACTATCACCAATGATTTTCTTGATTGCAGTAGACTGGATAATGCGACAAACAGCGGGCAATGAGGAAACAGGCATAAAATGGACTCACACAAAAAACTTGGAGGATCTGGACTTCGCCGATGATATATGTCTGATTTCCCACAAACTGGAAGATATGCAAGCGAAGAGCAACAAGTTAGCAGAAGAAGCATCAAAGATAGGACTTCAGGTGAACATAGAGAAAACAGAGGTGATGAAAATTCCTGGGCAACACCACCAACAGCAACAACAACAACTGACAACAATCAGCATAAATGGGAGGAACCTGAAAGAAACAACCTCTTTTACCTACCTGGGAAGCATCATTTCAACTACAGGCGGAACTGACGAGGATATCAAAGCAAGGATCGGAAAAGCAAGACAAGCTTTCACTACTCTCAAGTCTGTGTGGAGGTCAACAACACTCAGCATCAGAAATAAGATCCGGATTTTCAACTCCAATGTGAAGTCAGTGCTACTCGCTATTCGGATCAGAGACTTGCACTGCGCGTCATAAAGAGCATCTCAAACAAACTACAGACCTTCATTAACAGTTGTCTTCGCTCAATACTCAAGATCAGATGGCCGACCAGAAAGATCAGCAACAGGGATCTTTGGGAACGAACCAACCAGGAACCGATTGTGAAACAAATAGGCAGGAAGAAATGGAGATGGATTGGCCATACTCTGAGGAAACAAACTATCAAGTGACATCACTAGACAAGCCATTGCTCGAGTGGAACCCGAAAGGGAAGCGGCGAGTTGGTCGTCAGTGCAAGGGTGACTTGGAGGAGGTCATGTGAAGAGGAGATGAAAACGTGTGGGCAGACTTGGAGCCAGGTGAAGACTCTAGCAGAGAACAGAACGCAATGGAGACGCACGGCTGAAGCCCTATGTTCCTGTAGGAATTAAAGGATACAATAATAATAATAATAATAATTTCATAATAAACGTTCTGTTGCCTGGCCTTTGTCTTCTGTTGTTACAGTAGTACTAAGTAGTACAAGAAATAACCTAAACGATGAAATGAAACAGATAGAAGAAGCCTTGGTGTCAAATAACTATCCTATAAAATTCATTAGGAAGATCAGAAAAGGTCAAAATAAAAATAATGATGAAACTAATAATGATAACATAAATAAGTAAGAATATAAGGCATCTACAGTTATACCATATAAGGAGAGGACATCTGAGGCCCTGCATAGGATTCTCAACAAAGCAGGAATTAGGGTGGCATTCAAACCTACAAACACACTCAGGGACAAACTTTGTAGGTTAAAGGACCCAGTTGACGCAGTTAAACGAAATAATATAATTTACAAAATACCTTGTAATGACTCTGAGTTAGGTCAACTACATAGGTTAAACTAGTAGATTGAGGGTAGTCAGATTGTCAGAACATAAGAATTTAGCTAAGGTTAGAATGGTTGACCCCACGAAGATAAGTAATTCAGATAAAAGCTCAGCAGTTGCACTGCATGCATTAACACACAACCACACAATACGGGTGGAGAGAGAGGTTGATTACTGAATCCTGGTTCATCGAGTCTACACCCAACAAGTGCAATAGGAATGACTCATCACTCATACCGGAAATATGGAAAATACTACTAACAATCGAGTCAAGCGATGAAAAATAATCGAGTTATATAAACGAAGTTGGAAAGTTGTGTGAGTACCTTGATATGATTATGAGCAGTAAATTGTGCTCGAAATGTCATCAGTAAATATTGCTGTGTAACGCTGTGAGACTTTATCAAAATAAATTTTACCCACAATGGAACTAAAATATGATAAATTTTCTTTGGGTGACATCACAGAACAGAATTTGGCTAATATTTTTAAAAATTTATTTTCTTCGTGATAAGCGTTTGTGATTTATCAGGTCAGCTAGTTGGCCCGCGGTAAAAATGATTCCAACATGTAAAGGTAAATGAAAACAAATACCAGTACAATGACATTTTGATTTCAAATTCGGAAGAATTACTTACGTGACTGCCAACGTCAGTGAAGTAGAATGAAATCAAGACGTACCATATTGCACATAATCTCACCAATCTTGTATGTAAAGTAGTTGATAATGGCGAAAATTTTGATGACGTGAAGCACGTTTTACTCATGTTGCTTTTCACTGAAACACGGTTACTATTTATTGAAAAGACTAATTACTGTTTGGTTATTTTTATTTCTGTTAACAGTTTAACACCAAAGGATTGAGACGTTTTTATCCTTTTATGTGAATGAGTAGGTGTATGTCTCACTTTTGTAAAGACTTTGTTTGATTGGTAGATTATGAGAAAGGCTGCTCAAAAGACAGTTAATTTGATTATTTTACATTTTGGATTTCTCCGATAAATCTAGTATACACGGATTATATATGCATAATTTACCAATTAAATTACACACTGCTCGATATTCCAGTACAACAGCTTTCCGACTGTTTTCACCAGTAAAGTAACATTCGTCCTATAAAAATATTCGCTGTTTAATATTTGAAATGTGTAAAGTGACTCCATCACAATCCACTATTCTGTTTAAAATTTGTAATCACCATTCGTTAGTCCACATTAATATCAACTAATAATTAAGTTCTAAGACTAAGAGATACAAATAACATCGTGTCTTTTTAACGGTTGAGTAGTCACTTAATAATATTCAGTAAACACTACAAGGCGTCTGTGAAAAATGCGTCTTTTCACCGTGTTTCTCAAGTGCAGTCTTTTAAAAATGCTTGCAACTATTTCAGTGGTTCAGGGTGAACAGGATTTCAGAATGAAGCACTACATCTTAAATTAATCTTTACCAATTGCATTTATTTGTAGAATATGGTAATCATACGATTTGCTGAACAATGAAAGGTGATAAAATGGTTTCTTCTGATGAAAGATTGACTTACGAAAACTTATTTCCAGGTTACATTCATGAAGTTCCATACCTTACCAAGTTTTGTTCCTTATATTACAGTTTCAGTAGTTCTCTTCAACTGTTTCTTCTTCATATCATGGTTTGTTATCTGTTCAAGAGATTATTTTAGCTGTATCCTATGTCAAGTTTTGGAACGTTCAGCACAGAAAAATGTAGTAATGTAATGATATTAATTCATTTCATAATTATGAGAACATGCATGTTGTCTCATTCGAATGTTAACTCCTAAGGTAAAGAACGAGTCGTCGCGATGATTAATGCTGACAGGACAGTGAAAGAAGGTACTAAAAGAAGAGTCAAATTTCGAAATATTTGTACTGCACATACATTTAAAGTTGTGATTTTCGTCTTCCATTAAGGATACAGCTTGGTTTCTTGATTATTTTTTTTCCTTCGCGTTCCCCAGTGGAACATAGGGCTTCAAGCTAGTGGCGTGAAGTTTCTGTAACAGTGTTTATTTTACAGGATGGGGTTGCTAGCCTCATGCCCAAACTTTCTGCTTCACCAGCCTTATTTCTGGCATAGCTAGGTAAAGGAGTGCATCGGCCGGAGATCGAACCCCGGACCATGTGCATGGTCGACGAGCGTCCTAACCGCTATGCCACCGACGCATTATGTTGTATAAAAAGTACAAAGAACTTTTATGCTCATGTAATAGCATAACACTCGTAGTTTTATTTGCTTTTCTTGAAGTTTGCTTCAACGGATTCACACTTATTCTAACCTATTTTGTGTCAATTAGTAAGTTTCGCGAATTTACCGTTTCTAATTATGGAGGAATTCACATTGATTGATGGTGAGACTATCTAGGACAGTCCTGGGATCTCAGACTGTAATTGACGCAGTGAATGATGATTGAATTTGAAATGATAATTCGGTTCACTGAAGGATTCGAATCATCCGCCTCCGAATTACAGTCCAGCCCTCGACCAGTTAAGCTATGAGACTTAACTGCTAATCAAGCTAGTATATACCCTGTAGCTAGACCGATTTCTGTGTTCTAAACAGTCAGTCTATTAGTTCATTCAAAAGTCGACAGATATCCTCGGTTTGTAAGCTGAAACCGCCTATATCAGTTTACTTGTAGCTACCAATGCAGTTACATTATTATTATTCCCTCGGGTTCCGAGTGGAACATAGAGCTTCCACAACACATCTCCACTTCTATTTTCTGTCATCATCTTCAGCTGAGGACACGACTGACCATAATCTCTCGTCTCTTCCTCACATGATCTCCTCCGTGTCACCCTTGCACTGACAACACACTCGTCACATCCCCTTTTGATCCCATTCGAGCGATGGCCTGGCGCTCGATGTCTCTGAAATGTTTGCCCTATGCATTTCCTTTTTCTCCTACATATTTTTTGAGCGATCGGCTAATTCAAATCTCTCTCGTTGATGGTGATCGGTGTTGGTTGTTGTTGCCGTCGATCAGTTGGTTATCCTCATCATCTCCGTCTTCTCTATGTTCACCTACAGTCCTGTCTTCGCTGCCACCTTCTTAAACCAGTTTGTTGGTTTCCGCCTGCAAGTCTTCCAGTTTGTGTGACATCAGACACATATCATCTATGCACGGCATCCAGATCTTCTGGAATCTTCTCATCGGTGCTCCAACGTATTCCTGTCTTGTCGCTCCCGACCCACAGTCTGACACATAACCCAGTCCATCACAATTAAGAATACCATCGGTGATAATAGCCAGGCAGCCTTGTCTATCTCCTGTATGCACTTCGAACGCCTCGCTGAGTTTCCCGATGTGGATCACCTGACACGTGACATTGACAAATAGCCAGCCGTTGAATGAGGTTGATACAGACTTGGGCACTGCACGCCGTAATGTTGAAGTAGTTTCCAAATTACTTATCGGTCAATGCTGCACTATCGAAGGCCTTTTCGAGGTCAATGAAGTTGAGATACAGGTTTGACTACCATTCTATCCCTTGTTCTGTGATGACGATGCGTAGATTTGCAATTTAATCAGCACTTCACCTTGAAGGTTCCTAGAACTAGATGATGGTCTGAGCCCACATCTGCTTCCCTACTCGACTTTGTATGCAGCGGGCTGCGTCTCCACTTCCTTGGGCAGCTTTGAGATGAAATCTATCTGGTTAATGGTATGTCCATCAGGTGAAGTCCATGTTGCTTTGTGTATATCCTCGTGTTTGTACACGCTCGACCCGATCACCAAATCATTGAAACCGCATGATGAGTTCTCTTCCTGTATTATCTGCTCCCAGTTTGGCTTACATTCATATCGCCTATGATGATTTTGATGTCACCATTTGGGGTGTTGTCCATTACTGTTTGTAGTCGTCTGTAAAAATCTTCCTTTTTCTCTTGTTCCGCGTTGTTTGCATCACTGTTCATAGCACTGGATAATTGTGAGCCTCCTTCCTGCCTTTTGAGTTGAATCCTGCTGTCATGATCCTGCAGGAGGAGATTGGTTCCCACTGCCACTGGTGATATCATCATAGCCACTCACTGCTTCAGTGTGCTCGTGGTTGTCGTCTGAGTGACCAGACCGGAGTAGATTCACTGACCCTCGATATAAGAATAGAATTTGTGCACTGTGGTAGAGTATAATTCCATTGTGGATAAAATTTATTTTGATAAAGTCTCACAGCGTTATACAGTAATATTTACTGATGACATTTCGAGCACAATTTATTGCTCATAATCATATCAAGGTACTCACACAACTTTCTAAGTTCGTTTATATAATTCGATTATTTTTCATCGCTTGACTTGATTGGTAGTAGTATTTTCCATATTTCCGGTATGAGTGATGAGTCATTAAAGTCTCTTAAAGCAACGTCGCCAACTTCATATAGGAGCATTTAACGTCAGGACCCTCTGCTTAATCGGAAAACAGGCATCACTAGCAAGAACTCTAACATCTGGAGCCATGGATGTATGTTGTGTTTCAGAGACACGCATACAAGACCCGAGTGTGGTCATTCACTTAATCGCAATAGGCCAGCAAGGTGAATCTGCAAAATTCATTATAAGAGTGTCAGGAGACCCCTCTGTTAGTTCAAGAGGACTCACAGGTGTAGGTATAGCATTGAGTGTTAGGGCAGAAAAATCACTTCTTGACTGGATCCCAGTAGATAGTCGTATGTGTGTGGTCCGTCTGAACGGATCCGTTAGAAGAAGGAAGGGCGGCATCACCCGTCGTTGTCTTTTCGTATTCTCCCCAACAGACTACAGTTCGGATGAACTAAAGGATGACTTCTACCTGAAACTGTTTAATTTGCTGCAAAAAGCAAAACGTTCAGATATAGTTGTTTTAGCAGGTGGCTTTAATGCCCAAGTAGGGAAGTTGTGCCACATTGCGACGGGGTATCGTTTGTGAGAGTCAGTAGAAGACTGCTTGCCTTTCTGGAACATGTGCGTAGAATCCGATCTCGCTTTGGTCCGCGCACGTTTATGTTTACGACTAAACGGACATAAAAATTGTTGACAGCGAAGCAGTAATGTTTCCAACTAAGTTGAGACTCTAAGTCCCTATTTAAGGAAGAAATAGCGAAACGAGTACCTGAGGTCGACAGCAGGACTCCTCCTGAGGTAGCCTGGCACAACATACAGTTAGCTGTAGACACAGCTGTGAAAGCTGTCAAAAACCTGAAACCTAAAGTTAGTAAGAGCCACTGGATTTCTACTGCCTCATCCGAACTGATTGACGCAAGAAGCCTGATTCCGGCGAGCTCCGATTATGATGAGGAGCGAAAGTTACTCAAACGCAAACTAACAAGAAGCCTTCGTAACGACCGTGATAAGTGGTGGGCGACAAAAGCAAAGGAGATGGAAAAGGCATCGGCGATTGGTAACACCAGACAACTTATTTAGACTTATCAGGGAAACAGGTGGTAAAAGACAAACGATAAGTGAAACAATCTCTGAGAAAAATGGCACCATAATTAGCTACCAGGATAGATGACTGAAACGCTGGAAAGAACATTTTGAGGAGCGGTTTAATTGGTCTACAGCCACGCTCAACTTACCAAACATCCAACACCTCCCTGAATGGGATATAGACATAGGTCCTCCGTCCCTAACAGGTTACTAAGGTTGTCACTAGTCTGATACGAGGCAAAACAGCAGGACCTGATGGAATGACTCCAGAGGTATTTAAGGATGGCGGAGACAGTTTACTGTCTGCGCTAACTGAGGTATTAGGCAGCATCTGCGAATCAGAGGAAGTCCCGTCCGCTTGGTGTAAGTCATTGATTATCCCGATATACAAGAAGGGAGACAAGTCTTCCTGTGATAATCACAGGAAGATTAGGTTGACTAATATGTTATCTAAAGTTCTAGGCTCAATAATAATGCGTAGACTAAGTGATGCACGGAGGCACAAACACGAGAGAACCAGGCAGGCTTTAGACCAGGAAGAGGGTGTCTTGATCATATCTTCACCCTTCTACAGGTTCTGGAACATAGGCATACTTACTGGTGTCCAACAATTGTTAGATTTCTTGACCTAAAGGAGGCATTCGATTCTGTCCACCGAGAGGTTCTCTGGCTCTGCTTGGCTGTAAAGGGAATGCCGAGAAAATACATTGCACTGATCGAGGCACTCTACTCGAACTCATTCAGTCAGCCAGATGAGAGCCTACGGCGAGTTATCATCTGAAGTGGTGATAACTAGTGGTGTCCGTCAGGGATGCCCACTATCCCCGTTTCTATTCAATTTCATAATAGATGTACTAATGAACTTAATCCTAACTCACTTCAGAGACTCAGGGATTGACTTGTTACCAGGGAATAATCTCGTTGACTTAGAATATGCAGATGATATAGTCCTTCTAGGTGAAGACGCTGACAAAATGTAGAGTCTTCTGAACACCTTGAGCTGCAATCTGCGAATGTTTGGCATGCGATTCGCTCCCGCCAAATGTAAGATGATGCTACAGGACTGGACTACATTGACTCCTAGCTTCAAAATAAGGAGTGAAGTGGTAGAGCGTGTTGACCACTTCACCTTTTTGGGAAGGTGCATCAGCCAACGCCAGCAGGTTGATCGCTGACGAAATCTCAGCACGAATACAGAAGGCTAGTTTCGCATATGCCAGTTTACGCCGTCTCTGGCGTAGACGTGATATCCGACTGGCTGTCGACCAAAGGGCGTGTGTACTGCTCAGCAGTCCGCTCCGTCCTCCTTTATGGCTAGCCGTGAGACCTGGCCATTGAGAGTGGAAGACATGGAAAAACTGCCTAGCTGTCTTTGATCATAGGTGCCTGCGTTCTATCTCTCGTGTTAGGTGGTATAGTAGGGTGGGAAATACTGAGGTTGGGCATCGGTCGAGTACTAGGTAAGGAGGGGAAATCAATCGACGAGGCTGTGAAGTTACATCGACTGAGATGGTTAGGACATATGTTACGTATGTCTAGCCATCGCCTTCCTCGACGGGAATGTTAGCTGACATAGGATCAGGTTGGGAAAGAAACAGCTAGTGGTGGTCAAACCAAAACATGGCTTCATCAATGAAATCCACAACAGTTAGTTTAAGCCACGTAGGAAGGTGTAGACTTGCTGGTTGGGGTCCACGGGACGGTAAAAACCAATGGCTGGAGACAATTGGTGATATGGCTCAAAATCGTTCTCAGTGGAGCAGATGCACCCACTCCTTGTGACTTATAATATCCAATAAAACTATATTGTTCTTCGATATTACTATTCTTTTGGCCTTATATCTCTGTTTACTGTCTCTATTTTGCGTTTTTGTTTACTTTCTTCTCTGGCTTTGTTTGCTGAGTGAAGTGTGGCAACTCTAATTGCTGCACATCGGTGGAAAGTTCTATGTCTATTGAAATCAGTCAGTCAGTAACTAGGCGAGGTTAAGCAGTCACATTGAAAGAACAGAAAGCAGAGCCTATCTTCGATTTTCTGAAGACACACAGAAAAATCTACAAATAATCGGAAGTAAATCTTCAATCAGCGCAAGCACACGACATCTAATGGACACTGGACATCACGCGGATACCTTGAATTCCTGGAAAATAACAAATAAACATGCAATCAAGCTTCTTGAAGCTCGCACAATCCGTCTCTATCAAACAGTAAAAACCTGAATTATGCTTCCAAAAAGAAGCCGTATTAAGTTTCTTTTTACCCCGGTAACTCATCTGTTAACCTTAATTGATTACAACATCTTTTATTGAGTGCAACCAGTGATTTATTGTCACTCACATTTATTTACCTCAAGATTTATTGAATATCATGCTGCAAATATTTGATGTCCAACAAAACGACCCTAAATCTAAATATATATATTTTTCAGATCATACTTGGGTACTAACAACTTGCATTATCTTTTCATTAGTGGGAGTTAGCATTTTCAATGGCTTTTTGGTTGTCTTCACTAGTGCTATAAGTTTGAGAATGCAGGTGCATCTAACTGACCAGTCCCAAATACGACGAGGTGAGCATCGTGGATTGCATTCACTGCTAGTCACCATCCATCAAATCACTTCAAGGTTATCCTCACACATTGTCCAAGCATCCAAACAACGAGCCGACATATCAACAGACGCCAAACAGTTTGGTTTATTAACCAGACCAGTAAATTTTATTATTATTTACTTGGACACAATATTATCTTGAAGAAGATAAGTACTTTGTCTCGGATGCTACTTCGTTCATGTCCTTTTGACCGTTTAAGCGAGGGCTGCCGAATTCCTGTCACAACGCGAACATCAACACTAACTGTGATTAAAGACACATCTTGCTTACCAGTCACAAGGATGACGAAATTCCAAGCCTTCATTCCACTCACAGTCACCATCTAACAAATAACATCAACTTTATTTTCACAAATCCTCCAAGCTTCGGTACTATGAGCCGACTTGTCAACAGAAACGGAACCTATGAGTACACTGAATAAACGCGAAAAACAATGTATGAGGTAATCCCCGTTGCAGAAGACTGATCGTGTACTTTTCCCTCCATAGGCTAATATACATGTCTGTACACGGACGCTTAGGCCAGTAAATTTTGATGGAGGAGGGAGAAGTAGGAACTCTTTCTTCATTTCGTGAGGTGAGCATCGGTTGATTACAGAACAAAGAGTATAGCCTCGCTGATTTAAAAGTCTTTCAGAAATCTCTTCTCATGTTCTACGATTCTATTCCCGTAGTACTATTCCCAATAAACTGCAGCTTAAAGAATATTAGTGTTCTCAGAAATCCTAGTTTTAGTGCTTGCTGAATCTTTTTTTTTCAAGAATTCCGCCGAGCATAGGTTTCTATTGAATGCATATAAATATATATGTTGGATGATGTTATGCTAACCCACTGATGAAAAGTGTCAAATCAAGGTGAAATATCTACAAGCCATCGACTGCTTTCAATGGCCCCTCAACTAATTTTGGATTCTTAAGAAAGCTACTATGAAATCTATCAGGTGTCCACAACCCTTCAAGATGAAATTCGATACGAGTAAAACAGATATAAGAAATAAATCCAGTTATAACAATATTTATGAAGTCGTAAATATGTTGAAAAATATCAAGTTTTATTCTTCTAAATATCAAAATGCAGTTGTTATTTTTAAATAGATCCTCTACAAAATTCGCCAAATATGTTTCACCGAAGTAAAAAAAACAAAATACATTTCTCAATGTTAACTGGATGAGTCACGTATACGGTACTGTTGAAGTTTAACCTTTTCTAGTAATATTTCTTCAGCGGATATTTCCTTCATCTGTTCAGCTTGGCTAAACCGACAAATATTGCCAGCAATTTCATCTGGTGTTTGTTTCAGTGCCTGACCATTCATATGTTCGTAAAATGGATGCCACATGCCTTGAATTGAAGGGCGTTTGGTTGACCAATATTTATATATTGGGAAAATGTGCACCCCAGAACGAGTACGTAGAAAATTCATCCAGTTAGATATTTCTTCACAGGTCATATCCTTTCCATGTACATACTGCCAGTTACCACAAACTAAATAAAAAGAGATATTAGATACTGTAAATACTCAAACTCACGATATTCAGCAACTAAAAGTGGAGGTCTGTTTCTTCGTGGCTTAACGTATACAGCAGTTGCTGGATTTTCTCGGGCAAAGTCCACCAAGTGATTCTCTATATACTCCCTGTGTAAATACAATGAATGCTATTAGCAGAAATCCTAGAGCTTTAAAATCGTGTAATTTTTCTTCACTAATTATTAAAAATTTTGATGATGTACTTTATTTTTTGATTTAAGAAACCAAACGCCAAAGTTTAGAATGAACAATAATAAAAATCAGAATCAGATTATAGACTGCAATTTGTGCATGTTTACTGATGCTACGTGACTACAAAGGTAATAGAGGATTGCATGACATTGCAGCTCTTCAGCTACCATTTGGAAGTAGATTGCCTAAATAAGATGCTTACAATGCAGAAAATACAAGTATACATTAAAATATGAATACTACTCTGCCAGCTACAATTTACACTCGACAACAAGACCCATAAAAATTAGTTATATATATATATGCTGGAGCATACCAAAAGTTCCATCTCGACATATATTCAACATAATTTTAAGACAGTGTGGTATTCATAATCTAGAAGGGGAAATTGATGCAATATTTAATGACGAACGCCGATTCCACCTTCATTTACTCAAGTGAACGTACATGGAAAGTCCATCTTGGTTTAAGCCACGTAGGGAGATGTAGCCTGAATGGCTGGGGTGTTTGAGACTCTAGGAACCAACGGTTGAAGACTGCTATTAACAGCGCAAAATCGACATGAATCAGACAGATGTATTCACTGATACTGATTTCCCAGGTTTATCAAGTCTTCATTATTTTCTGTGTCATTATTCTTTCTCTCGTACATTTCCGTTTACTATGGGCTTACCATATTTGTTTTCTCCACCTCTGTGTGTACTTTAATGAACTGTGGTATCTTGAACTGGTGCACTTTTACGTCAGAAATTCAGTTCAGTTCAAATAGAAAAATTACTTACGAAATCTTCATTACATATAGCATCAATAATTATCAGTGATCACCGTCAAATATTACAATGTGATTTACACTAAAGTCAAGGGATACATTATCCATGCATCAAAAACAGGATAAATAAGAAGTCTCAGTTAGGACAACAATTTCCACGACGACTGAATGGCTTAGTTTACACATAGAAATTTGCTCAGAAGTAGCACACAAAGGTGGAGAAAAGAAATTCGAAAGAATTATAATCAGCAGAAATGTGCAGGAGGAAGAATAATAAGATGGAAAAACATGAGGGCAGCTTCATAACTTCATAGGCAGGCTTGCTCTCCTCACCTAATACTCTATGCTTGACCTCAATGTTACTCACTATACTATACCACTGAAGTATAGAATGTAAACACCTATGGTCCAAGACAACTAGCCTTTACATATCAGTGGCTATGTCTTACAGTCATTAAGGACAGAGTAAATTGCCTCGCAGTACCTACATCCTTTGATCGATAACCAGATAACATGTCCGCGCCAGAGATGACGTAAATTAGCAAATGACACACGAGCTTTTTGTATCCGTGCTGGGATTGCGTCATCAATCACACCATTAATGCTGATACAACTTCCCAACGTGCTCAACCACTTCACTTTCTGTCTTCAAACTAGGAGCAGTAGACAGACAGACATTATGACAGCCCACCAATCAATATGACCCACTCCCGTCTGTTGTAACTGTCAGGTTGTCTCAATGTAAACTCCCACCCCTCGGGGTTGACCTCGTATTACTGTTGTATTCTATCCTCCAATATGTATGTGAATGTCATTCATTGATCACTTTATTCTACACGTCAGTGCTGTTCAGTATGTTCTTGTCTTTCCTCAAACAACAGCTGTTTTTGTATTGTTACCTTTGTCTAACTGTATTATTTTTATATTTCAGAAACAGATAAGGTTTGTGTCAAGTTACCCGTGTTTTAACTATAGCAAAGCGTAGACTCTGTGATGTCAGTAGTGATGGTGGGAACTAAGACCTGTAGGTAAATTTAACCGTACAGTAGTCGGCATAATCCAGTCCGGCAGCATCACCTTACATTTGACAAGGGTGAGTCACATGCGAAACATTCGAAGATTTTTGCTTAAGGTCTTCAGAAGACTCTGCATTTTGTAAACGTTTTCACCTAGGAGGACAATATCATACACAAACTCTATGTCGACAAGACTGCACCCTGGCAAAAAAAGTCAATCCCTAAAGTCAGGGTTAATTTTATATCAGTACATCAGTCATGAAAATAAACAGAAATGCGGACAGTGAGCACCCCCGACGAACTCCATAGGTTGTCAACACTACAACTCCCCCTCGGCTATTAAACAGTTGCGGAAGTCCGGACAGAGAGACTTGAGTAGTGGGATAGACACTCTTAGTACATCCTCCATAGTCAGATATTGCCACAGCATTTCTCGATCGACAGAGTCAAATGCTGTCTTCAGACTAAGAAACATGCAAGTGTTGGACATCAGCCAGTAAGTATGCGTATGTTCCAAAATCTGTCGAACAGTGAAGATGTGATCAATACACCCTCTTTCTGGAGCAAAGCCTGCCTGATTTTCCCGAACTTCTTTCTCCTTAGCACCACCTAGTCTACGCATGATTGTTGAAACTAGGACTTTAGATACCATATTAGTCAAGCTTATTCCTGTATGATTCTCACAGGAAGACTTGTCTCCTTTCTTATAAACTGGGATAGCCAATAATTTACACCAGTACAACGGAACTATCTTTGATTCCCAAACCCGATCACCAAGTCGATATAACAGCTATCGGTCGGGAATTTGTACGATAGATGAATATGATAATATGCAAAGTCACGTGTGATGCGATCTATGTGGATTTCGAATTTCAAAGGAGACAAATAATATACACTAAGACATAAAGAGATTTCTCTGACCATATTCAAAATGAATAGAATTCCGAAAAATTATCGGAAGCCACCACACTACTAAGTAATTACATCTGTTACAGCAAGTATGATATCAGCTTTAAACAGTAGCCAAATAGAACTATATACTTCAAATTCTCGAATCATTTCATCAATAAAGACTAGTATGGTGGTATTTTCAGTAAAACATGTTTTATGCCATGAAGTCTCTGATTTTCACTACTAATTATTTATAAGCGCGATTAGCCTAGAAGTTTGTAGCGGTGAAAATTATAGTCAACAGAAGTGGTAAAAGATTATATCATACTGAGTTATATATCACTAAAACAATGTCAACTTATGACTTCGACATAAGTGTGAAACTTGGGCACTGTGGCACTGAGTTATGACTTCGACATCGACATCACCATGCTGGAGACAACAACGAATTGCAATAACTAAGGTGGTTCACTAACAAAGAGCTGTAAGTACAAAAAAATTATCAGAACCTTAAAACTATTTGAAACATAAAGACTAGATGGAATTCGTTGAGACCGCTTGAAATGTCAACAAAAGGTAAAAATGTTGAAATCAAAAAACCCTAATATTGTTAATTGGTAAGTTATGGGTTAAAACATTGAAGGTAACACACCTGATTCCACGACTATCCTTTCGAAATTTGCAGCACTTTATTGTTATTCGTTGCAACTGAGGAATACATCGGGAGGTAGTACTTCCATAGACGGCATGTAATATAGCCCTTGGTAGTGCGTTGCCTGACATGTGATATTAAAATATACCTAGTTTACGCTTTACTTTACGTTGATTTTTCCTGAAAGAAGAAATCATATTATTTAATATAAGACTGCTTCAATTTATGGTAAACCAACGGATAAGATTAGGAGAAACAGTAAATTCTCCCGGCTAACAAGTGGTATCCGCTATAAATATATAAACCGTGACAATCGGAGCTAAATGCAGAAGTCACATTAGTCAAGCTGATAACCTCGTACTAGAATACCTGTTTGTGGATTACTTGAAGTACATATTTGATTGGTGACTTTAATATCAGTTGGGAGAAACCAACATCAACTAGATAGCATAACTGTTCCAACAGTGAGCTTACGTCCAATACTCTTGAGTGTGCACTTCTACAGCATGTACACGCATCAGTGTGGTATGACACCGAGCCTTACCCTTCTATTCTGGACTTGATATTTGCACACCAAAATACAACATTAGGTGGTTTCGCCGCTAGACAGTAGTGACAAAATAGTCATTACTCTAACATTATAAAATTGATGACTTTAGGCACAAGTCAACAGCGAGTATATAAGCAATCAAAAGTACAGCAGTTTTACCTGCTGGTCAATTAACAATGGCTGCACAGTCGACTAAGTCTGGATGAAATACATTCGGATGTGTTACATCAGCTTGTACTCCAGTCTACACCTTACAAACAGGTAAATGAAGAAATCACTAGGGCGGTGAAAACGTTTTTGAGACTATTTCCTATATTAGTAAGGGGTACTTCGGTTAGAATACTTCAAAATTTAGAATCTCTGCAGGTTTACGGTTGACAAAAGTTGTATGAAATAGAGACAGTCAGCGGTAGACTGCCTACACTGCCTCAAAATACTGTACTCAAGTATAAACCGTAGGACTAGAATAAGCAATGGTATATCGGCACTCACAGACAATAAATGAAACGAACGGGGAGTCTTTGCAAATTATTTTGCGATTTTTTCTCATTTGACAGAAATACTCAGGAGTGTGGCGAAGTTACTATTAACATCACATATACGTCCTATCGTGTTAAGCAATGAAGTGCCACTTAAACTGAGTAAGAGCAGGTCACCAGAGTTTGACGGTCTTCAATCTAAGCTGCTACTCTCCTTAGTCAATATCAAATATGTCGCTCATGCAGATACCAAGTCTGTTTCAGACGAGTCTGCCTATAAGTCGGAAAGATGCAGTTGTAGGCTCAAAGATGAAAATAAGCGGTTAATATCAAATTACTGACGTGCAAACCGGATATGCATTTTTCATACAGCATTCGAAAAAAACGTTAGGTACCAAATACTGGTTTGTGTACAGAAACATAGTGTGCTGGTAGAACACCACTGATTCCAACAAGGACGATCATCTTTGACTAATTTACTGATACCTCGGATAGACAGCAGAACCTACGGACAAAGCATATGGCAAGGTATCCAACTTAGGCTTCCAAACTGAGTTAAAAGGACTCAGTTGAGGTAAAAATTTACACGACTGATTTAGAGACTACCTACTGAGTATAAGGAAAAGGGTGATACTGAATGGTGTGCTCTAAATCGAAACTTGTTTTGAGTTGGGTACAACACAGAAACATTTAAGGCTCATCGCTATTAATATTATCCGGAATCGTAAATTAATTTTCACCTTGCTAGTCATATTAACATTTCAGGGAACATAAATAATTCTAATCGATCAGTCCTACAAAATGAACTACGCAAATTAACCAAGTGGCTTAATAGCTACGGTTTAGTAGTTCCAGAAAATATACAGTAAGGCATGCAGGTCAGACATTTTACTTGACACATTTGCTGGAGGAAACCCGATTACCTGAAGCTAAGAAACAAAAGGTTTAGAGATCATTGCCAGTCACAACCTTAAGACTGCCGTACACTGCAGCTGAGTACTGGAGGACACTTCAAAGGGCTTTCGGATGGTCAGATGAGAATATGTTTAAGGTACTTTACTCAACATATACTACGCACCTTGAGTACTGAATACAGGTGGTAACAAGAAGGAGTAAAGATCTTAGAAATAGCATCAATGGTAGAACTAAGCTAGTTACAGAAATAGAATTCCTTACTTATAAAAGGATGGTAAGTCCAAATCTTTTCTCATTACCATGCCGTAGGAGGGAAGTTGACTTTATTTCAGCTTATCGCAAACTTAATGGTGTCTAGAGTTTTGCTTTTCTTCACCTTTACCAACCTTCTCGGATATATTATAAGAAGGTTGCTATAGCGTGATGAAACGAAATGAGGGTAGAATTCAGATTGCCACATAGGCTGATAAACGACCTGAATTCTTTTTCAGGATCACGTGGTATCGACTTTTTCCCTGAACGGTCCCAAATAAAAGCTGGACTTTCACGGAAGTATATGGTGCATGTACATTGGCTACACTTGCCTACTCTTTTTTACCACAGATGTTTTTCGGAGCGATGGCAGCACTTTTATTGGTCGTTGCTAGTTGGCCCAGTCATGTCGGGATCAAGGCTACAGCAAAGTGAGGTATAAACTAACAGACTGATAAAATATATCTGTCTGTCGTTATCGGTAGTCTGTTTTGGCAGAAGGAAATCAAATATTACAATAATATCCAAGCTTCCAATAACTCTAAACTAATTCTAACCTAAACGTCGATAATGCCTTTTACGGTGAATGAATTTCTAACTAAAACGAACCCACTATGTACTGATATAACGCTAGTCGTGCACCGAACTCAAAATTATTGCGAAGAATCCTTGAAAATAGGATTCGCAGCTGAAATGATGCCTTTAGCGCTGAATTACAGCTGCAAAAATTACCACGAAGCGCTGAATTATGTCGTTTTGTTCTGTAATACTGTCAGCCAGTGTTGAACCTCGGCTGAAACAACGCTGATTATCACACTCAATAGGTTCTGAACTACTTCTCAAAATGCGTAGAAAAAGCGCAGGTTGCGGAATTAGTGTCAGTCAAGCTGAAAACCAGCACCGAATTCTAGTCTCTGAGCATAATCCTAACACTTTCATAGTTCACTAATCATAGAATGTTAATTATTTCAGAATTAGCGAGATTTAATTCAGCATTATAGTAAGCTTGAGTACAGTCACCAGTAAAAAATGACTGATATCAGTCATCCGGTTAAGAGGTAACCAAGTTCGTGTCTTTTTTGTATGATTAACCATGAATAATTAGTTAAAAAGTTATTGGTTACAATTATGGAACCACAGAAACACTTGTGGGAGTCCCACTGCAGAAATAGAAATATGTAGCGAATCAGGCTAAAATGTAACACTTTCGTTGTACGTACCGCGTTGTATACATCTAATTAGTATAAACTTTTTTTCGTAAAGTTAAAATAAATATCCATCTAATTATAATGATACTTTAGTGATTGTTTCATAACTTTAATAAGACTTTGCTAGGGAATCGTACTTTTGAATCTACTGAATATGGCTATTGAAATATACGGGAGATTTGCCAGCATATATCACAGGAAAAAAAATATATATCACTGGCTCAGGTTTTCGATATGCTGATGATGTGTCATTGCCCTCATTTGATCAATTCAATACGGGTTTGAACAATCACTGAAATTTATTAGGAAAGGATCAACATAGGCCTCAAGCTTTCTATTCCCAATCAATAAATCTGAGTTTGAATAAAGTCAAGTTGACATACCTATTATCTTTACGTTGTGTTAGTCACTAACTTTTCACTTTCATTGATTTCAGCCTCAAAACATGACACTTAAGAGTTTCGATATGATATTTTATAAAGAATTAGTTGGATTGGTGACGCTTGGTGTGCTGATATCCTAGCCATTGCTATCAGAGTTGATGTTACTTCGACAAAACTTAAACTTATAAGGTTAGGGTTATCAAGCCGACCGAAATGATGGTTCAGATGCCAAACAACGGTTATTTTCGGTTTATATACGCTATAAATGTTGTCAGTAGAAAGCTGAATACCTTGAGTTGGGAAATCCTCTTTCACTTTTGAAGTTACTAGTTAATTTAAGCTGGGAATGCTGTTATTCAGCTTACTAGTTTTTCTCAATAATAAAATGAATGGGTTCATTTTGACTATAAATATTTTTTAAATGACTGAGCCAAGTAACAAACAGACTCATCATTGAGCGAGAAATTATTGGCCTGGTTATATTTCCCACTCCATTTCGATATTTTCACTATATATCACCAATTGGCGCGCGCTCCTTGAATACGGAGTGCTTTTGCCCCTCCAACCGGAAAATACCTGTTTTGTGAATTATCCGCTTGGGAAACCTGATCTTCCTAGCCGGTGAATTAAATTCAACCATTACTTACATATCGAATCTCTGTGGTAAGTTCAGCTGTCTCAAACTACTGACAAAGCTTCAGGTGACACTTCTGTAGCAGCATCTTCCTCACTCGTTCAGATAAACAAGACTTGTTGGTCTACCACGTGATTGCTGTGAAGCCGATCATCCAGAAAGTACTAGGTTAAGTCGAAAACCTTTTCTTTTCCTTATCTAGTACTTTATCAGTCTTATTCTTGTACTTGTGGGTAGATACTGTTGCTCTCTTAATCGTATATAGCATAAGTCATAGTGATTGTTAATATGGCTGTTGAAAGTAAGGCAATAAAACATTATATTCTGTAGTCACAAGGTCTTCACCCAGAGGAGACAAAATCCCAGGGACACCAACCCCAAGTCGCATACCGATCCTAGAGACTCATATAGATCTCATTTTTAGATACTACGCCTGCATTGCCACAGTCTAGCACTAAAACGGCACAGGCAATACCAGGTGGACATGATACCACACCAGCATACATTGAAAACCAGTGCGCGTAACATAGAAAAACAAAAAAGGAAACGCCCAAGATGTCACAAGACCTCGAAAGTATCATCAAGGAAAGGAGACGAATGTCAGGCGTGTAGTGTCATCGTTTCTGAAACTGACTCAGCATTTGAATGCAATCTTTGCAAACGATGGTGTAGGATTAATCTGCCTACAGATTTAGTCCTTCTGCTCAGTA